AGGCGAAGAAGGCAGAGCAGTTGTAGATGGCCGTCAGGTCGCTAGCAGTCGTCATGTTAACGGCGACATACCAACTGCCTCCTGCAAGAGTCAAAGCACATGTAATGAAAGCAGTCATCTTCATCATGTACTGGACGGGTGAGACTTGGGATTGCCGAGGCGTGGGGTGGAGCGTCTGGTGCTGGACCATGAGGGCCGTCTGGCGCAGAATGTGGACGTGTCTGCGCCAAAACGTCGGCCAGGGCTCGCTCCAATGCTGGAGACGGAGCAGGGCAAGAGTTGCAGGCCACAGCACAACCCAGGAGCCGTGGGTCATGTACAGCATGCAATACGGCTTCTCCCATTTGAGCTGGTGCTGGATGTACACGGCCGTCTCTGTCTGCACAGTGAAGCTGATCAGGCTCAGGGCCAGCAGGAAAGCAGCATACGTGTACTTTCTCCGTGTCTCGAGCTTTGCCTGTGTCTCTGGGTCTCGCTCGTGAAAGTGGTGTGTGCTCCTGCTTAACAGACCCTCGTCGACGGTATCGTCCTCGGTCTTGCGCCCCAGCAGAGGGGAGTTGGCGCGGCCATCGGGGCGCTCGAGGGAGGGTCTCAGGTCGGAGGGCATGGCTGGGTCGTGGTCATCCCAATCGTCAAAGTCTCGGGCCGGATTGCGCGGCTGTCGTGAGGAGGAGCGTGAGCGCGAGAGATGGCGCGCGTTGGAGGCGGGAGCGAGGCTGAAGTCGTCGGAGAGGGTGTGGGCGAGGGCACGAGGAGTTGCTGGGGGTTTCTTGCGTAGAGGGATCGACTCAGGCATATAAGGCGGTTGTTGGGCAGAGCAAGAGGCCGCGCCGAGTGGCAGGTGATGGGTGAGTGGGCCTGGGGGGCTGCAGCGTGGGAGGTGACCAGGGGGGGGGGGGAAAGGTGTGGCGGTGTCTTTTTCTGGGAATTGATTTGCTTGGGTCCGGCGTAGGCGTCAAATGCTTAGTAGTCGTGACTGGCGACTGGCGATATCTGTCTTCAGGTGCCTGGTGGCATCGCAGCCGCGTACTACTGCAACACGGCCAAGCCCCCTGCATGCCGTAACCTCCGTGCAAACTCCGCTGACCTGACTCTCCACCTCCCCCACGGCCCAATCGCAGCTGAGCCCACTTGCCGCCTACGCGTCTTTTCCCTCGCATCCAATCTCCCCGTCTCAGCCAAGTCTGCGTCGAGCTGTATTTTCCATCGTGTTACTCATCGTTTACCCTATACAAACACCACAAGCCGCCTTTTGGATGGGTTTTCGTCCTCCAGACCCCTTGGCAATTTGACGTGCCATGCCGCTGTCCGGCGTCATCACGTCATACTTTAGCTGCATGCATAGTCGAATCACAACCCAGCTTCACGAGCGGCCTTGCCTGCTGTCCGCGTCTCTCAGATGACCAGACTCTGCATCCTCATGCACCATCAAGTGACTTGCTTGCCCTAGTACAGATAGATAGAAGCAGCCTCCAAGCCCCGTGGGGGACTCCAGCAGGTTATTTTCGACGTACTCCTATGTGCTGAAGCCCAACAATGACAGCATGACCGATAACAGAAACAAAAGTGATCACGATTCCGTGCGTCCATTAGGAACTAGCAGTTCTGTTATCTCAGTCGTAAAGTGCTCGTTACCCTATCCGTCCTCACTAAATCATAGCCCAACAACCAAGAAAGAATGCGCCGGGGGAATCAAAAACGTCGGTGGCAGACATTTGACCAAGTTGCTCGAATCACACCGGGCTACCATCCAGTCCTTCGGCCCGCTCTTGCGTCTCTGCCTCTTCCAACTCCTGCAGGATCTCGGGCAGCATCGACTCAACGTCTTCTTCCCGCTCCCCTAGTGCTTTTGCAATCAGCTTCTTGTACGTGCCCTGCTTCTCGCTCATGCCCGCCACGCTCAAGTTGCCCACCACTTCTCTGACCAGCTCTCTCCGCTCCAGCTGTGCTCGGTGCAGCAGCAGCGCCAGACGCATCTTCTCCGTAATGTCCACTGGCGAGCTATCGCTGTTTTGCTGCGGCATGCTGCTGCACAGTCGCCGCAGCTCCGCCTTTTGCTCAATCTCCAAAAGCGACTCTGCTTCTTCCACCAGGAGCCGCAGCTCATCTTCTTGTTGCCGCTCCGCCTCTTCGTCATTGAGATCAATATGTAGCCCCTTTGAAATGCTCTGCAGCTCCGCTACTTGCTTCCGTACAGCCTCTAGTTCTGCTTGCCGCCGCTTGACCACACGTTCGGCGTCGAAAAACTCTGCTTCTTTCTCTTGTAACTCTGCCTCGTATGCCGCCGCTAGTTCCTCGCACTTTTCCAGCAACGTGGGCGCTACTTTGGTCATCAAGTGTGAAGCAGTCTGTGACCGGTACTGCACTGACTCTCGGACTGCCATGTTAGGCACGGGTACCGACATCAGTGGCCCACCGTCAAAGTGGGGAACATGTCCGTTCAGTCGGTGCTCTGGTGCTGGCGCAAACGGCGATGACGAGGCCTGTCGCGTTCGGCCATGCATACGTCGTCTTTGGTTGAGCTCTCGGATCAGGTCGTCGGCAGTCTCGCCCTTCTTGTTCGGAATGTCCACTGCTACGTTTCGTCCCAACAGGCTTCGCACGCACTTCCTCGCACCGTTGCGTGCAGCAATCATAATGGCTGTGTCGCCGTTCTGATCCGCTGCATTCAAAAGCCTCGTGACTTCTTCCGGTATCCACGTTTCTGAGAGCTTGTTGATGATGCAGTCAAGATACCATCTTGCACAAACATACTTGTTTGAACTGCTCGTAGTCGCTGCAATGTGGTGAAAAACGGTACTGCCAAACCAATCTGTCCTGTGCACCGTTTGCTGGAATATCTTGACCATGCTCGGCATCGTCTCCTTGTCGAAGTTGTTGGTGAACATGACGGCGCGCATCAGAGGCGTCTCCAAGTTGTTCGACAGACAGTCTAAACGTGCTCCTCGATGTATCAGCTCCTTGACCACGCCAACGTCACCCATGGCCGCTGCCCAGTGCATCGCCGCATGTCCCTTTTCGTCAATCGGCCGGTCTAGGTTGATGCTTGGCGGTGGTTCTGGCCACGACACGGCTGCTTCATGGTCCAGTAGCATAAAGTAATCCAGTAGCTGGTCGGCCCATATCTGGTGTTGTTGGTCTAGTAAAGACATTTGGTCCATCCCTCTCTTCCGCTTTCTGTTACCGTCGGCCGAATATTGCGACATATCCATGAGATCAGCATCGCCCAGCATCGACTCCGAAATCACCGTCTCGTTGTCCGGTGTGTCCTCACGGTAGATCTGCGACCTCTGCGAGTTTTCATACGGGTCTTCACTGGCTTGCGACCGCGAATTGCTCATGAGTGCTGCACAATACATCAGCGCAAATTCTCTCACATGGTTGCATCGACAGGAGACTGGATAGATTCAAGCAAATGGACAAATTTACCATTGTGATTCGCAACCGCAGCTGCAGCAGCCGCCGCAGCTACAGCCGCCGCAGCCACCGCTGCTGCCGTTTGCCTGGGTGGCTTCATGCGATTTGACGCAGCCGTAGCATGCTTGGGCGCAGGAGGCGGGCTCCTGTCACCTGGCACATAGTCGAAGATGGCGCGCATCTTGTCCAGTACGCCGTTACGCTCCGCGAGCCCGCGCCCCTCCTCGAGCGGTATCCATGTGCCCTGGTATTTGCCATATCCACCCTGCACCTTCTCGTGCACGCCCTTTTGCACCTCGCGCTCCAGGATACGGGTTCGCGCCGGCTTGTCATAGTCGGCTACTTTGAGAATGTGTGTAGCATTGATCCAGTCATCGGCACGGCGGCGCATGACATGGTGGCCGTTGACATTGCACTCATAGACGGGGACCTGGGGCGAGTGTTAGCAGGGAGGCCGAGGTGGTGTGATGGTAGTAGCTGTGGCAGTCAAGTAGCATCGAGGGACATTGGACAGGCAGAGGGCGGGTTGTCGCTACGCACATTACTGTAGGTCGCCGAATATATTTTGCCATCGGGCGCCGGGGGCATTTTCACCATTCAGTAAAGCACAAGCGGCGTCTTGCAGGCGTGTCAAGTGATTTCGTGAAGGCGTGTCTGCGGTTCGCGTCAGACCTGGGGGGAAGTCGCGTTGCAAGGGCCGCGGTCGCGCCTGCCCTGCCCTGCCAAGCATCGGGGTCGGGCGGTGGCAGCTTCCCTTTGCCGACCGCAGTGAACCTCAGCAACCTCGCCCGCAAACGACGCTCCCGCCCACCACTTTCCCCTCGTCCTGCGTGCCATTGACGACAAACACCACCCTGGGCCGCCAATATGACTGTTACAGAATCCATCAAGCATGCCATCGGTCTCGGAGAGCCCCGGAGTGAGTGCGCCCACGCATCCAGCCGTAATTGGCTCCGCATACCAGACACTGACAATTACACAGAGGCTACCCGTGAGGAGATGAGTGCTGCTAAGCTGCCCCTACCCTACAGAGATTCATGCGCACACCTTCTGATTCCGCTGAATCGGTGTCGGTACGAGGAGTACTACCTACCATGGAAGTGCGAGGTGCGCAAAAGCCCATTTTCCGTGTACGTGGGGGAACCGCAGACTGACTGACTACGTTGGACAGAATGAGCGACACTCGTACGAGAAATGCCAGTACGAGGAGTTCAAGGAGCGCGTGAAGAAGATGGATGAGCTGAGGGCAGCCAAGGGCGGAGAGCGAAGCAATTAGAGCGTTTGCAGGTGCCCATGCAGGGTAGATTACGGAAATGACAGTCATGAGCGGATGCCGCTGCATGTATATACCGAAGCAGCAGAGGACACGCAATTTCAGCACTAAAGTCACTCAAAGGCTACCAGACATGACGCCATGGCTTGAGGACATGGCAGCGACTTGGGGCCTTCTTTGAGCCCTATGAGACAGGCTTGATCAGCACTGCAACGCAGGTTCACGCTAAAACAAGACTCTAATTGATATTTGTTCCAAAATCACGATGGTCTGTATAGGCAGAGACAGATACATATGTACAGTCAGCTGTTTACAGCTTCGGCTTGGGGTCTTCCGGCGCAGCCCTGTTCCTCAATTCTTTCCTCAGAATCTTGCCAGACGGGTTCTTGGGTATTGCATCGACAAAATGCACGCCGCCTTCTAGCCGCTTGTACTTCGCAACACGCTCCGCCAGCCATGCTTTGATATTTTCCGCCATTTCCGGCGTGGCATCAGCCAAAGACCGAAGCACAATGTATGCGCGTGGCAATTCAGTACCCTCACTGACCATGGTTAGCAGGTGTGCCTACATGTGACTGCAAAACTTACGCCTGTACTCCGATGACAGCAGCATCTTGTACCTGAGGATGATCTAGTAATAATGCCTCCAGCTCAGCGGGCGCAACCTGTAGTCCCTTGACCTTGATCAACTCCTTCTTTCTGTCCACGATATGAAAGTGCTGATTGGCATCCACGTATGCTGCGTCTCCAGTCTTCAACCATCCGTCTGGTGTGATGGTCTCCTTTGTCGCATCGGGCTTCTTCCAGTACCCCTTCATGATATTGGGGCCACGCACCCAGAGTTCACCTTGTTCACCTTGAGAAGCTTCAACCTTGCCCTGATCATCCAAGACAAGCTTCGCCTCGATGTTCGGATACAGTTCCCCTACGGAGGAACTGGGATACTGTATCGAGGGATAGTGGTTACAGCCAATAGTTGTGAGTTCCGTCATGCCCCACCCATTTCTGACGCTGATCTTGCCTGGTGGCCAAAGACGTTCAAACTCTTGTTTGATTTGGCCACCGAGAGGAGCAGCGCCAGAGTTTACTTCCTCCACTGAGCTCAGGTCAAACTTCTTGGTTTCAGGGTGCTTGGCCATAAGTACAATGATGGGCGGCACCAAGACGAGATCCGTAATCCGGTATTTCTGCACGTACTCTAGCATTTGCAGCAGATCAAACTTGGCCATCATGTACACTGGGACCCGCAGCTTCAGGGCGCACATGCCGAACCAGGATTGCGCCATGGCATGGTACATGGGCAGGAAGATGAGAAACCTTTTTCGCGGCCGCAACTCTTCCCATCCCTCCTGTTGCTGTGGAACTTGCAACTGCGCAACGCAATTCGAAACGTAGTTCCTATGCGTAATCATCACGCCTTTCGCCATGCCCGTCGTGCCTGACGAGTAATTCAGCGCAACAACGCGATCCAGCTCCTCTGCGGTGCGCAGCTCCGGCCAAGTATATGCTTCGCCTCGTTCCGGTGTATCTAGCAGTTCCGTCCAGTGCCGAATGCGTCCCAGCTCCGAGTCGCGTTCCACCTTTCTACCTTCAAACGTCGCGGCTCCATCATCGAAAACAAAAATACGATCCGCACTCAACCCGACTTCTTTCGCGGCTGCGATCCCCGTGTCGAGACTGCCTTCTGCGCAGATTAGGAACCGTGCCCCGCTGTCTTGTAGTTGATATGCCAACTCCCGCACTACATAGGTTGGATTCGCGCCTGTGAAGATGCCTTCAGCCATTATCGTACCCATTAACACAGCAGGGAAGAATAGCGTGTTCGACGAGAAGAGTAGCACGCGATCCCCCAGCTGCAATCCTGCGCGCAGCAGACCCGATGCGAAGCGCTTTGCATACTGCCGGTGGCCGTGTAGCGAGAGGAAATGCGACTCTGGGTTCGCAGCGGAGATGAGAATCGGTGTTTTGGGCAGCGGATCGCTCGGAGAGTCGAAAATGAAGGTTGGGAGGGAGACTTGGGGGACAGGGATGGTGAAGCGGGGTTTTATGGGCATTGTTGCTTTTAACTTTGAAGTAGTAGCTAGGTATCAGGTTCACCTAGAGATGTGTTAGACGTCTGTATCGCGTGGAGATGTTGTAGTAGCACTACTTCAACTACTACCTTTTTCCCTTCTCTTGTCCTGCAGCAAAAAACGACGAAGTCTCAAATGTTCTTCACGCGTTTATATTTATTTAGAATAAATTACATTATATACTGTCCTTTTTAAATACTCCTTTTCTCAGAACAGTAATCACGACGTTGCTCCCTCCACCCTTTCCCATACAGCATCGTATGAAGCATCACTGCAATCCCTCGGTTCTCCGCACGCTCGACTACCAAAAGCGGTAGTGACATGAGGGAAAGTGTGTCAGGTTGCTTGGTTCAACTGTTTTGCGTTTAGTGCAATAATGTGGTAAGGGTCGAAGTCGACTCGTGTGCGGCGAGTACGTGCGGGGCTTGTGGGCGCGGCCCGAGGTTACCGAGTTCTTGCAGGAAAGATGGGAAATGCGAAATGGGATGGAGGGTTAGTGTGAATAGGTTGGTGCGGTTTGGACTAAAGACTTGTGAGGGTAGTATTTGGGATTGTATGGAAAGGAGGTTTTTTTTTGGATAACGGGTGTGGATGTGAGATTCCATGTGGTGGTTGGTTGGGTGATTATTTTGGGTTTTGAGTTGCGGTTGTTTCGGATCATTAAACTTTATAAGACGTAGTGATTTTTTTTCTCGCTCAACTAGGTTATCATCCTGCTACCCATCTACGTTGCTGATTTTGTTCGAGGGGAGTTGTTGTTTAGTGGGTAACGGTACAGTGCCCTGCGTATGATAGCGCCTTGCCAGTAAAAATTCCGATCCACATACAGCTTACGCTTGGCGCTGATTTACCGCGCTAGTAGTAAAACTAGCCTTCTTGAATTATGCTAAATTATTAGTTGACGTCGTGTTTTAACTGCCTACATCATGCGAATATGTTCCGGATTTTCCTACCATCGCAATTTGTCGGTTCCTCGGCTACTACGGTGCACGGCACAGGAGAGCCCGGATTGTTGAGGAATCTAGCATCTGGGGCTCCACGTGGACAGATCGAACATGCAGAAATCGCAGGGCCTTTTGTAAGACCTAAAGCGTGGAAAGTTTAGTGTAGTACTAAATAGTACGCTTGCTAAGCCGTACAACGGTCATCCCTGCTTCTCCCCTGTAGCTTGCAACGACCGCATCAGCTGTAATCATCTCCTTCGTATTCGGAAGCATGTCATCACGATCTAAAAGACGGTGTGATGCTCATTTTAGGTTGCTTAGAGGGTATATTTTGACATCAGAGTCACACGAGCATCTTTCTTGGAAGTGATGTCGTGTGGGTATACATCTGGCACTGGGCGCTTGCATTTAGTGTTAGTCGTGGAATAGCCACAACTGATTTCAACAATCTGTATATAGTGTACAACTCAATTTTGATAAACATTATCCTAAATTCTAACACACTACTCATACGTATCGGGATATATCCCAACGACTTTCACGTCAAAGAGTGGCGTAGTCCAATGCCCATATACTACAGTCTCGCGCACCGTCTACAGCACGGTATACTACGATGTCAACATGAAGAAATTTGATGCAGAGACTAGAAAGACTATGTGAATTAAATGAAGAGAGCTTGTAACACCATCCGTTATGCCACGTCCGTTATGTAACACCATCCGCTATGCAACTATTCAGATATATGGGCCTCAAAGAAAAACCAACCCTGGGGTTGAAATGGAGATATTCTCAACATAGGAAAGTACAAACTGAGAAAGAGAAATATGGAACAGACTGCCTCACACTACACTCATGAGATGTACCGATTTGGATGGTAGATCTCCGGGTTGAAGTACGACGTCACAGACAGCCCTGTCTTCTTGAACGAGCATGTGATATAGGTATGCAGACCAAGTTCAGAGTCGAGAGATCTATGTGAACTACAATCACGGTTAGTTGTGAAAGCAGAAGCTCTACATGCATACTTACAAGATATCCGAAAGTGCTTGGACGTATTTATCCGCCATCGCCGACTGTCCGCGACGCTCAAAGTACGTGGCCAACCCCTGGGCAATGGAGAGATCGTTTTTGGCATAATGACGGACAGGAATATACACTTTTGGAACTATATCGTGTGACACCGGTTTGATCTCGAAGTAGTAGAGGATACCCGAGGTCCGGTGTGGGACGTTCGGCAATTCTTGGTCCGAGGAAAAGTATTCTGGCAGACCAAGGACCAAAGACCACAATTCGCGCAAGCTAGCTAATGAAGTGGGGTTGAGAGGCTTACTGGCACCCAGTGAAAGCATTCGACATACGCTGTCGAAAGATGTTTCTCTGTGACGGAGGTAGATCTTGACTCGTGACTTGACGGGGACGACACAGTCGATGCCAATGATTTCGATCTGGGGACGACTTGGACTGGTTTTGGAGAATGTCGTCAGGTCGGAGTTGAACCTGCGAAAGTTGTTCATGAAAACGGGTCCAAGATGCGCCTTGCATGAGTCGATTGCTTGGACCACCAGTTCGGGAACCGGCGTATCTGTCTCGACTGCCTTCAGGCCAGGGATAAAGTAGGCCTTCAAGGAGGGAGTTCCGACATCGAGATCGAAAGCAACAAAGTGCTGCGATCGCCCGTTTACCGAAATGTGTTTTGTGTCGAGCTTTTTGTGGGTTGTGGTGAGAGCCTCGGAGAACGCGTCGAAAATGGTCAGGTCCAGACTCTTGTGGAACGCTGGCCGGAGCGTATCTATAAGTTGGAATACCATCTTCTCATTCAGCGGGTCGGCTGAGTTACCCGCATGTTTTCCGATTGGCTCTATGGAGAAGCGAACGCGTGACTCCCCGGCTGACATTCCCCATTCCCAACTCAATTCAAGAGGGGAGCAGTCATCCGTCATGAAGCTTTCCCATCCGTTTGGGTGGCCTTCGAGTGAGGGTCTTCTACCAAGAGCTGGTAGAATATACATGTAGTAAAACAGCAAATGTTTATGCTGTGTATCTTGATCGTACCCAATTAATTCCATCATGCGCGCAAGGATGGGCCCGGTCGTTTCCCACCAGAAGCGAGTGTCTTCGTCGAAAACGGTCAGTGATTCATTGAGGGATAGCCATACTCCCAGGGTCTTTTGCTTCGTCTTCTTCGGTTCCTTGGGTTTCCTTGCAGCAAGGCTGCGAATTCTCCGAAAGAGACGAATAATCTGCATTGTTCTTTGAATATTTGCTCGAAATTCGAGGGAGAAAAAACAATAATAATACATATGCATATGCAAATGCCTCACAGGAATGCGTCATTTGTCCAACTAACCATCACACCTTGTACACGTGTCGCTGTCCCCGCAGGAGGCAAGTCAGCCCAAGGGAGGGGTGTGGGAATCTTACATGCGCAATCGTTGGTCGCAGATTGAAAAGTCTAGTCCAGATCGGCCTAGGTCTATGCACCATTCACGCGGGTGTATTAGACAAACAATGCTGATGGTTGTGAAACCAACATTTATAATACATGTTCCGTATTTGCAACACAGATTTATTGTTAGTAATATATTCAGAGCTAAGCGGGCCGTCGGGATCTTCTCGGCCGAAAAGAAATTCATGTTTGGCTGCTTTTCTTTTTTCAGATTCGCGGCTTCGTGATGTGTAATATCGTAGTAATATCTGAGATAGTCGATAGCTCCTTCGGAACACCATACCATAGCAGCACTAACACACCGCCTAATTCTATAGACCGGAAGTGAAACTACACCGCCCTAGCGGTATGTTTGGTTCGAAAAACGATCGATCTTGTAATTATGCAAGTACAATACTAGCGTGGAAATAGAACCGAAAATGCGGTGTTAGAGAGAATGCAAAAGTTGTCTGAATTTGGAGGTTGATTGACTCGATAAAAACTGAAGGATCTATAGAGTTTTAGTTATACAGATGTAAAATACTTCGTGTGGGGTTGGATGTGCATTTACTAATAGAAAAGGTCCACTTAGGATTTTTTTTCCTGAGCTGCTGATCACACAGTTGTCAGTGGACCTATCATTTGCAATGATTTTGGGAAAATCCAGAGATATCGGCTTTTTCTACCGCACCACTCTCTGAGACATCTCCTCGGGGCTTTCCATTTTTATTTTTTTACCATTTTCCTTTTTCTCACATGGACTAAGATTAGCCCGCACAGAATAACGGATGTACTTCCCAATTGACAGCCACACTCCAGACCTCAGGGGATAGCTTTGAGCGGGATGTTTGAGTGGTTATTGTAGCATGTGCTCTAGAATACTTCAAACGTCGGTGAGGTAACCGGCCCGTTTGGTTTGTCTGCACCGTTGGCATTCAAAAGAGTCATGTGCACATCAGCCATCTTCAATTCGGGGGTTTTCGGAATCTGCGTGTCCAATGCAAACACACAGTCCTCACATGGACCATCACAGTCTCTTCTTTCACGATCAGTATTGCACCATTAAGTTGTGGGAGCATCATGAATGCTCAACTCACTTCGTGAGCACTAGGATCTCCTTTCTTAAGAAGCATCCCAAAAGTAGCGGCTATGTCGTCAGCAATGAACCGAAGAACGTGGGGAGAGCTAGAGATGATATCTTGGCACCGGGCGCCAAGTATCTACTGTCAGACGTTAAGAGATGCGTATACGCACGGGCACAGTACACGTAGGTTAAGCCCTGTTCTAAGTCGTAAACCGACTAGTTTAGCTTCTTCGCAACTTCTAGCGTACTGTGTATTTTCCATAGCCCTAGCAAGGCGAGTCAGTATCGGTAAGAGCGCTAGACTCGGACACGTCGGTCTGATGGAGTGATGTTGAAACCCACCTGCACTTGCATTATCTCTCGCGGCTATCTGCCAAGAAAAACAATATTTTCTTAGAGGCGATCTGGAATAGCACATATGTCTTGTCAACCACGAATTCATCGCTGAAATCTCCTGTGCCCCACATGCAGAGTCGAATTTCGCTGCAGCTTTGACGTGGATGGAAGCGGTGAGAACATGTCACTCTTGATGCATTGTCGTGACAATATACCTTTTAGAGACTTGTGGACTAGTCTAAAATATATGTTACTAGAGTCAGAGGTGCTAAGGCAACACGACGGTTCTGTCGGACAAAGCGTTAATGGAGTCTTTGACAGCTATTATAGCCAAAATATATCACTTAAAAGGTGCTACCAGGCATAAAATAACAGTAGAGCTTGTAGTTGAATCATAGAAAATGGGCTTCTCTGTGCTTGATTCTCTGAGTTTTGGGTAGCTTTTAGAAGAAGGAAAAAGCCCTCTGATCACTGCGGAAGCCATTTTCACGGCGAAAGCATCGCGTGAGAACATGAAAAGTGAAAATCATGGTGATTGCACTTGCTGTTTACATTCCTATCCTGCCTTTTCATAGTACTTGACACAAGCTAAAGGTAGTGTTACGTCCCAGCGATTTTCATTTCTGATAGAATGTACTCATACGGTACTTAGTCTCTCCCTCATATGGTCTAAGATCTGCCAGCGCTTGTTCTCCTTCCTTTTCAATGGTTTCCTTGATTCTATCACTTCGTGGCTTGATGCTTACTTTGAAGATGTTTGGACGCATGTTTAGGCCATTGCTGCGATGTGGTCAGCTTTAAGTTTGTGAGTGGAAATTATGATCGACCTACGTGTAGTCATATATGTCGATAGGAATAGGCTTTCCACTTTCGTCTAGCGCTGGTTCAATCTTGAAGCCCCAGATCAGTCGCGCAACCGTCAACCATGTTCCCTGTTCAGCAAGTGCCTGTCCTGAGCACACTCGTCGTCCCCAGCCGAAAGTCATGTATCCACGTTCGCCAGGAAAAGGCCGTGAGTCTGGATGGTCTTTCAGGAACCGGTTTGGATTAAACCGATCAGGGTCCGGAAACTCGCGTTCATTATGATGGATCGCCCATACATTGCCCTGCACCCACGTCGACTGTGGAATCAGGTAACCCTTGTAATAGTCATCTTGCACTGGTGCATGAGGTTGCCCACCAATAATGGCTACAGAACGCCAACGGAACACTTCTTTAACAAAAGCGCGTATGTAGGGTAGGTTTGCTTCGTCCTCGAACGACGGGCTTCGGTCTGGCCCTACCACACGGTCCAACTCTTCCCTGGCTGCTTCAAGAGTTTCCGGGAAAGCGCGCATCGCAAGTACCGCTGTGATGAGGGTACTACTCGAAGTATCCGACCCTGCACCAAATAGGTTGCCAGCCAAGGAGGATATCTCTTCCTTTCTCAATCCGTGCTTTTCTTGTTCCCTAAATAGCATCTTTACGTAGCAGTCATCGTGACCTGGCTTCTCATTGGCTTCGCTCGCTAGTGAATAAAAGAAGTCATGACCGCGATGTGACTTTTTCCTTGACCCCATTCCGTGTTTCCAGGGTGCATACTCCGTCGGCACACGAGCTAATGCAGGGAATGTCTCCATCAACATTGGAAATGTCTTGCCAGGCACATTGAGGTCGGCGGCGCGATGCATCAACGCAATTACTTCTGTAATGATAGGATCTTCCGGACTTGAAACTCGCCTCCCAAAGCCAATGATCGACACCACACTCGTTGCGTATCGCTCAAAGTGCGCTACATATTTCTCGGGGGTGTGAAGCAAGTCAAGAGCAACGACTTTGCTCTCGTCATTTTGAAAGCTACGATATTTCTTTACCTGCTGAATGCCAACACCTTGGTGTGTCAACTTACGCAGCATCCGAAACCGTTCACGTTGAGCCGGGGTTGTAGTGATTAGGTTGACGAGGTTATTCTGGCCCGAGCCCAGCTCTGCAAAGACCAACATGCGTGGTCGCGAGCAGTATATGCCTGCCCTCTTCTCGAGAAGCTCGTTCGCTGTCCATGCATCATTAATCCATACAGTTGGATTTCGCCCGATCCAATATGTGATAAGTGGTGTGTTCAATTTCTTGGACAGCTCTTCGAAATATATCCATGGTTTGTTATCGGGTAGTTGGAAAGTGTTCCCGACGATAGGGTATGGGAAGGGCCCAGGGGGCTTCTTAGCATCAGTAAGGTAATTAGTCTTTTTGTCATTATGACCTTATTTACCATCTTCGATCTCATGTACAGCATCCAGGCATAATCGGCGAGAATACCGAGCGCGACTATCCCGAAGACTACGAGGGCGACGTTTCCAGCACCAAATTTTGATATACCATGCTGCAAGTAGTGAACAGGTAGCGCCTCGAAAAGTTGCTCAATCGCCATGTTGCCGAAAGGTGTGTGCTCTTCCTGCTGAGGTGTTTAGACAAAAGACGCTTGAGCTTTTGGGGGTACGTTCGTCAAGGCAAATCAATACAAGCTACAATGCATAGCACTGATCCACTAATGTATCCGATGACCTAAGATTCAATATCGGCTTGCAGATTTACTACTGTCATATCTTTCTGCAACTCCTAGTGCAGCCCTCTCTTGGAGACTCACTGGCGCGGAGCGGGCTACCCCACATCCCGGGGGTGGGGCATGAACGTCGGGTAAAGTTGAACCTTGCGAAGACTGCAACCTGTTTGAAAAGGCTAGTAGAGTTGGAGGCCCTTATTGGCTGTATTATATCGCCTATTTAAGCACCTGTGTATCTGGCGTCACCAATGGTGTCTATAGGAAAGGTAATAACTAGACAAAATTTCATTGGCTGGGATCACATTGCGACGTTGACTTGCGACGTGATTGAGCGACATGTTGGGTATTGTCGATCTGCTGTATGTTTCAGCCATTGATTCGTTCTCATGAACACCGAGTATTAGCACTAGTAACATTACGCAATCGCTCATCATTGCCGCCCATAGTAACCATATCGCTGTAGCGCTACGCCAACAACATGATGGAAGCATTGTGAAATTGGGGCTGCGATCTTGAAAGAACAAGGCTCGAAAACAGGTGATGTGCGGAGAGAATTTGTATAGCTCGTTGGACTTATCAACAGCAAGTATCAGGTCAGCTTGGCATGATAAATAAAAATTCCATGATGATCCATTAGCAAGTTCTCTCAGTGTCATGTCTCACTGGAACCATGGTCCCAATTACCCCTATAAAGTCGTGATTCTTCATGCGCACAGACGGAAAAGAATTATGCCACTTTTTACATCCTTACGACGAACGAACAAGTCACTGTGGCTCTGAAACTTCAGGAAAAGTGGTATGGATAAGGACTTGGTCATGCTTGAATGTTTTGTCGAGGAAGAGAGAAAACCGTTACAAAGTTTTCGTAAGTTGGATGATCTACCTGGAGAGATATTGGGCATGATCTCTGGATATTTGACGAAGAAACAATTGCGCGAGTTTCGAAAGATCGGCAGCCGGTATATCGCGCAACACATAGATCACGACTTTGTAAATGCGATATAATCCCAGTTCAGTATACCCATCCGCTGACAAGTAATTATAGGCTCAAGCACACTTCCGCCATCGCATCTGTAAGACGACCAACCACAGTGTCAGAAACCTCGAAAGACTGAGCATCCCACGATTCGTCAAGCATATTCACACACTGGAAATTCGTCTTGACCTCGGATCTCGTATTCAACCACTGAGAGAAGAAGAATTACCAGTTCTCGATGAACTTGTTACACTGGAAATGCTCGATGAAGCAAGACTCTTTGCTGTTGTTGAGGACATTTTCAAACAAGCACTGCAACTACGGGAACTGATCATTCGAGCACCAGAAGGCCAGGTTTACACAAAAGACGGACATTTAATGGCTAGGCCAGTGCCTGAAGACTATGAGGAGATGTGTGATGACGAGTTAGAAGGGCTCTTAATTCTACATTCTGGACAACATCAAAGCATTGATGCCTATACCATTTGCGATTTTGTCTCCCAACTGATACGCTGCACACAAACGAAAGCGTCACGTCTTGAGATGCTCAGAATCTTGGATTTTGCGAAATCAGAGTGGCAGTCATGGCTGGCTTCGGCAGAATCGATACTCGACGGGATGACATACGTCCCAGTTCTGCAGAACTTGACCACCATAGATTTACAGCTGGAGATGTTTCCTAGCAGGGAGAACATTTGCATGTCAAGCCTTGTCGAAATTACCAAGCAGAATGCCAACCTGAAGGTCTTGAAAGTACGCACAAGTCCGAGAAGCATTAGGTACTACCGCACCAGCAGCGAGGATTGGGCGCCGCTACTTCAACAACTTGGCAGCGATCCACCGTTTCGTCTCCGAACACTTGAATTTGATGGACTTATCTCGAGTGAATCGGCACCAACTCTGGACCGTATTGTTAACACACATAACCCGACTCTTCGCCGGCTGGTCATGGAGCATACTAATTTCCACTATCCAAACACCCTCCATGCTCTCTTCAGCTCTCTGGCCAGGTCAAACGTGAACTATTTTAAATCAAACTGGCTGTACCTCCATCGAGGGTATTACCTGTTAGCCCTCAGGGTGTACTTTCAAACAATTTTCGACGAGGTCATTGAGCCGACAATTCGACATATCGATGAGTGCGACGACGAATCTTGTTGGGACTGGGTCGAAGTCTTTTGGGACGTCAGCAGTTTTGACACCCCATTGGTCTTCGACAATGAAGATGGCTGGCATGGAGAGGGTTGGATGAGGCACTGCTTCATGAACACGGTTGCATCCATTAATTGCGGGGCTATAAGAGATTATTGAGGAGGATATTTTTCAACATTAGCAATAGTTCTGTAGCAAAAAAGACGGGGGATGTTTGGATTACCGCTCTCAGGACAGAAACACATGGAATACTCAAAGTCACACTATGCGCTTCAAGGTTTATTTATCCACCCAATCACCACATAAACAAAAATCTCTCTGATCCTACTGATGGCACACTGGGCCGGGGCCAGCTATCCTTGCAAACAACATAATGCATGATTATGGAGTTACACAATTATGTACCCATCCATCCCAGCCAACGGGATAAGTTGGCGCGCCCCACAAACTTGCCCCACATGAATGTCTCGGGTAGTAGCATACCCTCATCTTTTTTCTTGTATGGTGTTGACTTTCTTGGCTACGAGAATGGCCACTATCGCAGCTCTTCTAACGAAAATTCCGCCAAAGCTTTAACCAAGCTGCTGGCCTTGCGGAAATCAGTGAAGATGCCGAGCAAAGATCAATACACAAGACAAGGCGGACCATGCATGAGCGAACAATGAAACATTAATAAAGCTGATGCGATTCTTGATTGTTTGTTCCTCCATCCAAAAGATCTAGAATTTGCTTAGGCATAATCATGCAATACGTGGGAATGAGGAGGAAACGCCATTGGCCTAGCGAAACCAACTGCAGCTTGAACACTCCATTCTAAACTCAAATTATAGCTACGGTGAAGCGGGGTACATATGCTTCATGACCACTATCGGCAAATACTGCAAGTCGGGATTAGCCCACCGGTGTCGATCTGCCCAGTTGCATCCAGAAATGAGTGTACAATCGGATTGTGGAGGCCCTTGCACACCTATGTATGAGAGGTTGTCAACAACCTGATTTCTCTGGCTACCAATCTTTGTCTGTCCCATCAGCTTTTTCTCATTTCTACGTATAACTTTAGAAATAGTCATCGAAATGCCAGAACTCGACAGCAGTCTGCTGTCCAATTGGAAATGTGTCGCAGCATGCACCCTGGTCTCAATGTCAACTTTTCAATACGGCGTTGACTTTGGCGCCATCGGTGGACTGCAAGCTATGCGTGGCTTCCTTGAAGTCTTTGGACATCCTGATCCCGCTAGTCCAACCGGCTGGAATATCTCGACTGAGCGACAGCAGCTTATGTCCTCTCTAATGACTCTGGGCGCGTTCGTTAGCTCAGGATTTGCAGGAGTTGGGGCGAAGAAATTAGGAAGACGACACTGTTTGTGGCTAGCCAGTGCGCTTTGCTGTATCAGTAACATTGTCATGATGACTACGACAAACACGGCAGGATTGTATGTTGGCAGGCTGTTTATTGGACTTGCGAATGGCTGGTACATGACATTCTCGCAGTTGTATATCCAGGTAAGACTACAATTGGAACCCTACTCACCATCATGATTTGGTTGCTTAATATCGCAACAGGAATCTGCACCAGCCCATTATCGCGGTCTTCTTATATCCGTATATCAAATATGGGTTTCGATAGGTACCCTCGTAGGCACCGTGGTCGACAACGCAACGCACGATATGAACGGCCGCAAATCGTACCTCATCCCATTAGGGGTGATATTCATCGTCCCATTCCTCATGTCCGTTGGTTTGTTCTTCATCCCTGAATCCCCACGTTGGCTCGTTCTGGTCGGGAAGAATGAACAAGCTGAGAAATCGCTGTTTTGGATGCGTCCAAATCCAGCGAATGTACACATCGAAGTTGTCGAGATGAAGGCAGCCATCGATGCCGAGAAAGCTGTCAATGCTAGTGCAAGTTTCATGGATATCTGGAGGAACCCAGTCGACCGTCGACGCACACTGCTATCTATTGCCGCAGTGTCGACTCAAGCTGCATCTGGTGCCATGTTTGTAATTGCGTATGGCACATACTTCTTCCAGGTAAGTTGCAAAGGTTTCGATCTCACGTAAATACTGACTTCGATGCAGATGGCAAACGTCGGCAGCCCATTCATGAACACGTGTATCTTGATTGCTGTCGGTATCGTTGCGGTAACGGTCAATAGCTGTATCATCTCCAAAGTTGGACGGCGGCGCGTTTTCCTCATGACCGGTCTATCGATTTGTGGTATCACCCAGATGATCATTGCAGCTGTTTACCATGTTAATCCTCGCACTACTCGCACGGGAAAGGTACGTCTTATCGGAGCTAAGAACTGATTCTTGCTTTCCATACTAACGGAGGCAAGATAATTGTTGGAGTCTCGGTGGTTTACATTTGCGGATACAACGGCATGATTGCGGCTTATTCGTGGCTTGCTGGCGGAGAAATCCCATCACAGCGGTTACGGTCATATACCTTCGGCGTTGCATCTGCCGTTGCCTTTGCCGCTGCTTGGCTCACCACTTTTACAGCACCCTATTTTATCAATCCTGAGTCTCTCAATTGGGGACCAGAATATGGTTAGCTCCCTTTCTTGAATGCCTTGCCATGTTCACGCAAATGCCTTCTACAATAGCACTAACTTCCCGGCTAGGTTGGATCTGGGGACCATCCTGCTTTATCACAGTCGTATGGGTCTACTTCTATCTACCAGAGATCAAGGACCGCACACTTGAAGAGGTCGATGAGATGTTTGAAGCGAGACTTCCAGCACGCAAGTTCAGAAAGTATGTATGTGTTGGTCATTATGTACAAGGTAGAGATGAGAAGATCGAACGGAGTGACAGCGAGAAGAACGAAGCTGTACATCAGGAAGTTGTTAGCGTGGGGAAGCGTGACTAGGATTGTCGATGGACGATAAAACAATCTGCTAGCTTGTTTCTGATCATGTGGTTGTATCATCTCTTTGTTAATCATGAATGGAATCTTTTGCTCATCTTTTCGAAAAATCCACTCAACATGTTCATAAACTATGAAAACTACACCTCGCCACAAAGTGGATCTTAGGATGAATGAGGATGTATGTGAGAGTATTTGCATGCGTTGTATCGATAAGAGTAAAGATTACAGAGGCGACTAGCATATTGTAATCTCTGAGATCGTTCGTCAAGCTTAGACCGGAACTACGTGGCCACGCTCGTAGCCTTCTTGATCGCCTCATCTCCTACTTCTTCCGCATGCTTCTGCGCATCATGCAGGAATACCCAATCCTCTCTTGGGAACTGTATAATAGTAGGGTCTTTCTTCACCTTCTCCCAATCCGTCTTGTGCCACATATCCCTAGTAGTCTCCCCAGTCTTCTGCACCGCTTTCACACGTTCGTACCGTACATCTTGGTATGCTCTCAACGCTCCTTTCACATTCCCTTTACCTGCCTTCCTCAGCAACACTGCCAGCGTAACACTGTCTTCCAACGCCTGAGTTGCGCCTTGTGCGCTCGTCGGCAAAAATGGGTGAGCGGCGTCTCCTAGTAGACATATGCGACCATGACCGGGTGCAGATCCGTATCCAGAGACCCAGTTGGGCAGCGGATCCCGGTAAACAAGCTTCCAATCTACCAGTTTCTCTTCCGGCGTCTTAGAAACGATTTTCCAGCACATAGGATCCCAGCCTTCAAGGACCTTGCGCACGTCTTTGAGATAGCCAGGGAATGACCAGGACTCCTTGATGTCATGCGAATCGCGGTGGGTCAAAACCCAGCAGCAGTCCGAGCCATTCTTTATTGTACTGAAAAGAAAGTGTACATCTGGCCCTATTGTTGATATTAGTTGCTACCACTTATCGCGCACTTAGATCAATGGTTACAAAGGACAAAGAAAGACATACCAATCCAGCCATTGAATGTATCACCATTCTCACAAAACTGCTTAGTCTCCGGATCCGCAATCATGTCTTTGTTCGAGAACCATGCTCTCCAAACCGCATACCCACTACTCTTTGGTTTGTCCTCATATCCGAGCACTAGTGTTCTGGCTTTGCTTCTGACACCATCACTTGCCACTACAACGTCGCCAGCCACTCTCGTTCCATCCGCGAGCACAACGCCTGCTTCCTTCTCATCCTCCCAGTAATGCTCGATCTTTTGTCCCAAGTTGATTTCTACACCAATCTCTTTTGCATATTCAAAAACAATTTCATGAAGCTCACCCCTATGCCCGTTGAAGTTCGGCGCCTCTTCATTGCGCGGTGGCGTCTTTTGATTGACTACTATCTCTCCGGTATCCCACTTGTGAATGTTGAAACCATAATTAGTCAAGTCGATGGAGACCTTGCGCATTTCACGCGCAACGCGACCGTCGTTCCAGCGTGCGAAGATGCGACCCCCATTAGGTCCGAAAGTAATGATGTCGCCAAGAACCTTGAGAGAGGGGAAAGACTCGTAGATTACAGGTGTGTGGCCATGACGGATGCATTCTATGGCCGTGGACAGGCCACCAAAACCTAGTTGATCTTTTTTAGAAAGTTGACATGTCGTGAACCCTTGGCTAGTATGTACCTGCACCGACAATGATTACTTTGATGCCTGTTTTTGGAACAGCGTCATTGGCCTGGACTCTATTGCCATTTGTCTCCAAAGAGGCCATGTTTTGTGATTCGTTTTTGTCTATTATTTCACGGACTAGGGTTCAGAATGAAAAGAAATGTCACGCCCAGAATGTAACAATGAAAGAATACGATAAAACTGATCGCGGTACTCGATATGGAAGTGAACTTCATTCCCGAAAGCGCGGGGCAGTACAGCCCGCCACTTCCCGAAGGCGTACGGTACTATCTGCCGATCAGTGAGCTTGATACCTGGATTCAGGCATCCAGGCGACATGCCTCCGATGACCTGCACACTCACGCGAGCATAGACACGGCACGTCACTCTGCAGGCTCATTCGCGGTATATTGATTCCGTGGAGAAGAGCCTGGATGATACATACACACGGGTACGCAGATCCGTCTAATAAGAGCCAGGCGATGTACATGCCCCACATCGTGACCAGCTTCCCCGCTTGCGCTGGCTTTCCCCGCATCCGCGACATGCTCTTGAGCAGTCCTAGCCACACAGTCCTTGCTTTCATAATGGGGCGCAAAATCCTTGCTGTTGGACTACTATAATGCAAAACGGCTATACACCATGTCTGCAATCCCATTACGCCCTACTACTGATAACAAGGTGACGAAAGAGCTATAAGCCAACTAGATTGCGTTCCTATTGTTGACAAAGTTGTTCTTCTAGGTCTGCAATCAGATTAACTCTAAGAACTTTTACTCTTATTAGCTGCAGATACAATAAGATATTATGAATCTCTTTATTTGAATAGCGTCTCGTCGTGTAACAAACACCAGATTCTCAACTGGGATTTCCATTGAATCACTTATAGCTGCCAGCTAGAAGAGCCAACCAAACTAGCTAGCAGTGAGGAGCCTGAGGACTCAGAAGCCGGGAGTTGGAAGAGCTGGAGGAGCGACCAGTACATGTGCCACTGTAGCTTGTCTAATCCAAAATAGAAATCTGCTTACCAAGATGTCCAAGTAAATGAAAACCAGATAGCAAACCTACTATGGTATCCTTTAATGCTACTATGTGGATAGAGAGGCTACAGTTGGCTCAGTTCTCCACATTGGGGGGGGGGGGCTTTATGGGTCTAAACAGCGCTAATTGGCTGGGCAAAAATCGATTCCAGGCATGGTGTACGTATGCAGGACTGAAACTCTCGGTTCGCCAATGCGGTGCAGTGCAACAGTGACTCGATACATCATACATAAATATTAATGCAGTAACCCAGAGGCATATTTACGATTTCAAGAAAGCCTCAAGTTTATGCAGCATCCGCCATGGTGACTTTGACACATCCGGAATGGAACCAGGAAACGGGCGGGCTAGAGGTTGCCAAAGCCTTTGCAGATCAAATTCGTGGAAAGAATGGTAGTTTTGCTCGAGCCTCACACTAAGTTAGGTATTCAACTAAACAGTCGATAGTTCTGATCACCGGTGTATCTCCAACAAGCATTGGTTCTTCAGTTGCTCTCTCGTTCGCTTCTCAGGCACCCGCCCTCTTGATACTCGCCTCACGCACCGAATCGAATCTTGAGCAAGTGCGCAAGGACCTACAAGATGCCTACCCCGGAACTGCAACTAAAATTGTGGTTCTCGATTTAATGTCGCAAGACTCCATTAAAAAGGCTGCGAACAATATCTCGCAGTTAACAGATCGCCTTGACTTGATCATCAACAATGCAGGCCTTATGACCAAGACTCGTCGGACGACTGCGGAGGGCATCGAAGCCCAGTTTGGTGCCAACCACATCGGTCACTTCCTACTCACCAACCTTCTTGTACCCCAACTTCTAAAGTCCGCTGCATCAACTACTTCGGGGGCGACACGTGTCATCAACGTCTCATCGCAGGGTCACCACCTGAGTGGCATTCGTTTTTCAGATTACAATTTCGAGAAGAGCAACGAGGAGCTTCCGGAAGAAGAAAGATACACGCCCGCTTCCCCTGTTTTTGCTAATATTCCAAGCCGCAATGGATACCACGGATTTGCAGCATACGGCCAATCGAAGACTGCAAACATCTTGTTTTCCATAGGTATCAACAAAAGGCTTGGGGATAAAGGGATAAAGAGCTACGCTCTTCACCCCGGAGGTAAGTATTCACTTTTACAACAATTCAGAAGTTCTCTCTGACGTGCGTAGCGATACCAACCAACATGAGTCGTGATCTTGATTCTGATTCTGAGGAGCTAATAGCAATTGGAAAGACAATGACTTTGATAAAGAATCTTGACCAAGGCGCCGCAACAGTGTTAGTAGCAGCACTGGATCCGGCCTTGAACGGTATGAAGCCTCCCAAGGCCTTCTGCATGAAAGGCTAAGCACTGACATTTGTTTAGAAGAGCAGGGAATCTTCCTCGATGATTGCCAAATTCGGGACGCAGCTCCACACGCAACTGATCCGGATAAGGCTGAAAAGCTTTGGGAGTTGAGTGAGAAACTGGTTGGGACCAAGTTTGAACTATGATGCGATGCCACTTGGCTGTTGAGTATGCAATCAAACAACCAAACAAGACACTCTCGTCCATATCCATATCGCTCTTGCTTCAGAAGTCACCGATAGACACAATTGATAGAAAAATAACAAACAGTTATTCAAAAAGCATAATCTCATTATCTCTCGCGTAAAAGACACATGTGTGGCAGGTACAAGTCATCCAACACCTCATCGTACACTATCATACCTATCATTTCCCAAAGGCGTTCCATACTCTTCCATATCTAACCAAAATCACTAAAAAAAAACGTAACCACTTGATCCCCTTCAATCCCTACAAACCCCCCTGAGGATAATACGGATAGTGTTGTCCAATAATAAACTCCTTCTCCTCACTCGGCATCAACGGCCCATAATCCCTATCCACACTCATGTTCAGATCCGCATCCAAAATCTGGGTTAATTCCTCTCTTATGTCCAGCAGCGACGGCCGATCATGCGGATCCCAATTCACACATCGGGCACAAAGTTTTACAAGTGCAGGCGCGTACCGCAACAACTTCGGATGCGCTTCATAGTCAAACCTATCATTGATGATGTGCCCTTCTATCGGCGGGCAACGCTCCGGTCGCGAGATGTAGTTGGGTAGGAGGCCTAAAAATGCTTTGGGACCGTGGATGGAATCCTCGAAGCCGTTGGTTAGCAGCCAGAAGAGAACGGCGCCGATCTGCCAGACATCGGTTTTTTCACCTATCGGATACGGATTCTTCTCTTGTGTTTTCTCGTACAACTCGGGCGCGTAGCGGTGGTCGAATCGCTCGTTGGACCAGGTGTATTGGTCGGGATTATCAGGTGGAGCGTGGTCCCCATAGTTTAGATCGTCGTCTTCGACTCTCTCGTGCGAGTAGAATGCGAGTCCAAGGTCTGCAAGAACGAATGTTGGGAATTCTGCTTTTGTGGCAGAAGGGGAAATGAAGATGTTGTCGGGTTTGATGTCACGGTGCGTGATTCTTTTCGCTCCTGGAGCCATGAGTTCGTAGTCAACTTGCCCGAAATGCAGAATCTGGCATGCTTTGGCTAGGGAATCGATGATGTAGCATATCAGTCGCTCGGGTAGTATGGGGGGTAGTTTACCGTCTGGGGCTCTGTAACAGCGTAGTTTAACGTCCCAAAGGTAGCCTTCGGGGTCTTTGCTTTCGAGAGTGGGTGGCGGTGAGAAAAGGTTCATCAATTCCAGATCGGGCATTCTATCACGTAGTGCCGAATAGAGATTTCCGCCTTCGTAGTAGGCGAGGTAAATGCGGTATCTGCGCTGGCGCATCATCAGTCGGTACCCGTAGTGTTCAATGATTGTACCATGGCCATAAACATCGTTGGCGCGGTTGTTGTCGACGAGTTGGTGGATTCGGATTTCTCGTGGGATTTGGTCGCGCCAGTTAAGGGGATCTCGCCAATCGCCTTTATGCATTCGTGCTTCTTTGATGACGAATCTCTAGGAGCGTATGTGTTAGCATGTATTCACTATTCCGCGATAAGACACACGATAACTCACTCTTTGAATTACATTTGCTGGATCTACTTGGCACCATAATCCCGCGCAGCCATATGATCCATGTCCCAACCACTTCGCTCCACGCATATCTGTTTCATCTCTTACCGGCCACTGGCAAGGCTTAGTCTCTAGAAAGATATTTGTGTTTTGCGAGACGAACTTCATTGTCATGTCTCGTGCTTCATCAATTGGATCAGGATGCCAAGGTTCTTGAGGCCAAAAGTCGTAGGGGTAGTTGTTCCGTGGTCGTGGTTGAGGTAGAGGTAATGGAGGTGCAGCTGGCGCAGGAGGGATCGGATTTCCTCGTGCATCACGTCGTAGTGGTAAAGTCTTATGGGCTCTTGCATGAGTAGCGTCCTGCACGTTGTAGGGGTTTCCTGGTATTATGTCGCGGCCTGGAGGCAAACCATACAGTTTATCTTTACCTTTGCGTGCCGAATAGTAATCGCGCGTGAGTTGGTCGCCATCCCATATTGTCTCTATCGTGTAATTTAATTGGACTTGAGATCGTTAGTAAAGAGTTGTTCTTATCGTAGAATCACATACTGGGAGTCCAATGTGGTCTATGTGCGTCTTTGAAGGCTCGTGCGGCGTGTTTAAAATATGGCTTGGGTGTCACCCAGGGAGGAACACGCGGATTGTTTTTGTTTTTTCTCGCCATGATCTACGCGATGAGTCTGCGACGGTCAGATTCACTATTTCTACCCAGAGGGTACCAGTAATCTCCAGAGTTTGCAGATTGTATTTGCCAGCAAGTTTTGTAGTGCGAAAACCGAACAAAGGGTGCTGACAGTGGCCTTAAGTAAATACAATGAGAAAGTCCGCATCACGTACAAAGTAACAAAAGCACAAAGGTGAGGATATGTTTTCGCTTGGTCCTTGCACATTTTGAATTACTCTCCGTCCCTAAAATACCACTATTTTCAAGATATGCTTTTGTTGGCCCTGATAAACTGACATATTAAAAAAGCATGGTGTAACCAAAGGCAGGAATTCACCTTCGGAATCACTAGAAGAGTAACTCTCGATCAAAGAGGGAGGGTACCATGTACACCAAATGCCGAATAGATGTCCCTGTGCAAACCTTCCCTCGACTCCGTGATATAAGCTCCAAATCATGTTTAAGACCCGAAATCTGCGTCTGGATGGGCTGGGAGTCTGGTAGTGTGATACTGGCAGTCTTCCTGATGAGCTGAATTACCCACCATGCGGATACCTCGCGGACCCGCATATGGTGCGCGGCAAACGTAGCAGAATTCGAACCCGCACTTGCCTGCTGAAGTTTAGCATCTATATTTAGTATGTTATTCAGAGTTTTTTAGAGTCTTACAAGTCATGTGGTCACATCCCGTCGTTTTCTCAATCTGAGATCCACACCCTGGACATTTCTGCGCTTTCTCTTTAAGCAGTGCAACACTGGCCTCTTCCTGTGCTTGCTCAGCCTCGGTACGTTTGTCATACTCTGCACAAGTCTCGTTCTCATGAAATGGTATCACGGGCGTATGTGCAGTGCACATCCGATATCCACAACCGACACATCGGAATATCGGACCTCGTTCGCCTAATGTAGCAGTGTCGTGTATCTGTCCTGAAGAGCACCCTGGCGCAATACAATATATAAAATCTTTCTGGGTACTAAGGAAGCTGCGCAGGGATAATTCGTTATAACGATTAAATACCTCGGCCGAGGTATACTTTTGTATATCTTGATAGGTAATCAAACCTGTACAGTGGCTTGGACATCGTATCTTCTGGATATCTTGAGTTGCAGCCATTTCTTGATCTAGCCATCGAAGAAGGCAATTGTGGCATACGTCTGGTGTATGATTGCAGGAGCTAAGGTGAGGGAAATCTGGGATTGGGATTGATTCTGAGCATACTGAACATTTTCGTACGCCGGGCGCTGAATCGTTGATGATAGCGAAGTCGTTTTTACTAAGCCCGTGAATCGTTTGCTTAGGAAGCTGACTCGGCAGATTGACGTCCTGCTTAACCGAGTTGCAAGAGGTTTCCGACGCTAGGTGTTTCGATGGACTGCTGGGAGCGTTGGGAGTACTGTGAGCTCTGGGAGGAGTAGTCTGATGATGATTCTCTGTCTTATTCGGCTTGCTTATGCGGGGCTTTTGATTCGGTACATCAAGTGCCGTATCACTCGCTTTTCTCTTATGAGCCCCATCCCGCCGTTGCTGACGGGATACTGAAAGTTTATCACGGCACGTCTTGCAGTATTTATAGTACCCGTCACCTTTTCTCTTCTTGTCTGGATCAGCCAAGGGACTTTTACATGTTCCGCAACGAAGAGGTAAGTGCGGTGTATTTGGTGTCGACGATGGGACGGCCGAGCTGGCAGGGGCTGGCTTTGGCGGTGCCATATTATTATTGCTGTAGTATCGTTGGTGGGTGGTGGAAAAAGAATGGTAGAGATAGAAGAGCTTGTTGCAGGTGATGGAAGGGAGTCGGGAGTTGGAGACTGGGCACAGGTTTATGTGAGAGAAAGATGGAAAAATTACTGTTCCGTCTTAAGTAGTGAGGGATGGCTTTCAATCAGACCCCACAGTAGAAGAGAGATGTGTGCGCTAATCAGTTCCATGAGTGAGAGAAGAAATGTCTTCAAGGGATCTCGGAGGCAATTGAGAGTCAAAGCTACTGATCAATGTCAGCAGTGAGTGAGAAGTGTAGTTGCCAATCGATCTCACTACTTCACAACACCTAACGCCCCAGTCTAAATATGACCCATGATCTCATTCGATCTAGCTTACAACCCAATGCCCATTGATCGGAGTGAAATTGCTGATATCCTTCTATCTATAACACAAGCAAGATAAACATCTGCCTTCGCCCTACTCACCTAGCCCCACCGTCACAATCATAGCACAGTAAATAACTCACAACATCCATTTGCTTCTGACCTTAAAAGACGGCTCATGATATCAATGTTGCATTATCCCATAGCACAATTCCTCCTCTTGTCCACAACTACGAAGCGCTGAATACCCCAGCATTCATCTCCGAGACCTCTCCTTTCCACCAAGAACTCCCAAGCATATAGATCAAAAGAATTCGCTTCGCTTCAAAGAACGCACATATGGAAACACATGTAGAATTTACTCTTACACCTATTCAGGTGAAAGACACCAGCATTACTCAATCTCGAACAAAACCCCATTCAAAATTTTCCAATTTCGTCACGGAAATGACCCTTGTTCTGACCCATATCTATGACTCCACACTCCAAGTGTGTGCCTTCCTTTATCCCAAGAAGTGCCATTGTCCCCAATGTTCCCAACCTCTCTCTCATTTTCCCCACCCGCCCTCAATCTAACCCACAGTTCCGATACCCATCCATCCCCACCTCCTTCATCTTCCATCCCTCCATTCCCCCAGCACCGCTCCTTCCCCTTGGCTAATAATACCAGTTCCCCAGCACCGCCCAGCCACGAGCCACACGGGAACGTGCCGAGCTAACCGGGGCACGCGCTGCGCCGCAGTCTTGGCGGTGCGGCGCAAGCGTCCCCCCACTATTTTTGCACCGCCCCCCCTTCCCCCTCCGTACTTTCATTTGCCGGGAGGGAGTGTATGCGTTGTGTGTTGTATATAGGGAGGCCTGATTGAGTTGTGACGTATTATATTTTTCATAAGGCAGACATAAGCGGGGTTTGATTCTTCGTGGGCGAAGGGGTTGAGTGTTTCCTTCCAGCATTCTGTACGTGATGCTTTATCTAGTGGTGCCGCTGGGACAAGAAGAATGATACTCAGCCAAGCATTGGCTTGCGCAATTGTCGTATGCGAGTGTAAGCGATAGCGTTTCGCGGTCGACATGGAGTTTTCTGCATTCATCTAGGCAGGGCGTGGCGTCAAGGAAGAGGCTGCAGCATTGTGCGGTGCCGATTTCCTTTGTGCATGCATTGCTTCCTGAGGGATGCAGGTTGAGGTTGTCGACGAGGAGGGTGACGATGTCATCGGTTGCGGTGGTGAAGGAGGGGACGAGGTGGTAGAAGAAGAATAGGATGCAAGAGCAGATGAGGAGGGTTGGAACGAACGGTGGGTAAACGGGTGTGTATTTGAGGTTTGTTCCGGTAGCGAGACGCATATCGTTCTGGTCGAGAATGTTGCCTTTGTGTCCTTGCTCTTTTATAGCATGAGCCCCTCTTGTAGACGAGAATGCTGGAATGTGAGAGGGTGAAATGTTATATCGTTTGCCTGCTGTTTGTCTGAAATGGAGTACGTTGTAGTTACTGTGCTACACCAGTGGAATTGCAACCTCTAAGACGAAGAGGGAGAAGGGATGAAAACAACAAGGTGACGATCGCTGCACGAAGAGGGCCGATATAAATCTGACTGTGGCATTACCGCCATGCGGCCCATAGGCACGATAGGAAACTGCGGCTAGTAAGCAACTAGTTCGTGCCCGTTGGAGCGGTAAGACGGCGGCGCTAATGTACACTCTGTGCTAGAGCTTGGCTTGTTCGCTAAGTGCGACGCAGGAAGTGGCCTCGACGTGATTCACCTTACCCAAACAAGTATGAGATGTCATCTTACCCAAGATGCTTGGCATTTGCACGAAGTTAGTGTGGCCGTACGTGCTGCCACAGGGGGAGATTTGATTCGACTCGAGCAGAAAACACGGACGGCATGTAATCCGGGGTAACGCACTGGCTCAACGCACTGGCTCAATGCACTGGCTGAAGCGCATTGGCCTCCAAAGTGAATGGTGCTGACGGCCGAGACTAGGCGCTCTTGGAGCTGACCTCACTCACTGATGAGTAGAGTTCTTGTCACGGCCGTAAAAACGCCCGAAATGCCTGTGGCGCATCCGGTGCGTCCACGAAGCTTATGTTTGATGTTTTGTATCTTGATCTTGGATTAGGTTGACGACATTTCAGGCTCAACCCAAGCGATGGTTGCACCTGCTGCGAGTAAAGACACAAAGTCGCCCATAGAAGCGTCCGAAAGACTCGACCAAGTTCATGCTATATATGTGTGAGACGTTTTAGGCTTGGCCGATGTCCCAAGACACCGGCGGTATAATGATATGATGTAAGATGTAGTGAAAATCGTTCTACGGATTGTACGGATTGCATAAGCAGCACCTCTATCTGACCAGCGAGTCATGGTGCGTACATACATGTTGGGAAACGCGAGACGCTGACCCTGGAATACGCATCGTTCACAGCTCGGATCGGGAACTTAGAGTTTGATAATCTGTCGGGTGCCAAGTAAATACATCTGTAAGGCTAGTCCCAAGAGATCCTGGGCAGGTCAGCGTGGGTTTCAGGTTAGCATTGTTGGAAATGGTGAGACTTACAAAAGCATGATGCCCGCGCCAGCGAACATTGCAGAGAACTGCAATAGGGTCTTCCTTAATTCCTGACCCTTGTTGGGGCCAGTCTCCAACAACTCGGGAATAACAGCAACAGTGCCAACATATAAGAAGGTGCCGGCAGTGAAGGGCAGCAACATATCTCCCCATTGGAGACTGGTGCCCATGAGACCTGGGCCAGCAGAGACAGCAGAGCTAGAGTTTCCGCCAAATTCTTGTACAGCAATGCCAATGCATGTTCCCAGGAAAGCGCCAACAGCAGTTACAAACTGAGCACCCATGGCTGCGCGCTTGCTAAATCCAGATTGAATCAGGAGCGCAAAATCGCCAACTTCATGGGGAATCTCGTGGAAGAAGACGGCTACAGTGGTTGTGGCGCCGATTGTAGGTGATGCGTAGAAAGAAGAGCTGAGGGCGAGACCGTCGGTAATATTGTGGGTAAAGTCCGCAATGAGATTGAGGTAGCCACCAAGCTTGACACTGGCGTTGATCTCCTTCTCTATCTCTGGTGGTACGTTTGCTTTGGCAGTTTTGTTGTCCGCAGCGCCCTTGCGAGCGCGGACTGCGTCTTTTGATCCGTCGACATCGACCCCCGTTGCCTTGGCAGTAGCATCCACCTTGTCATGCGAGTGCCCATGCGAATGGTCGTGTCCACCCGCACCTCCAGTCGCAATGCGCAGTCCCTTGTCCATGGCCACGAACGTGATGAAGCCTACCATGATGGCAACGCCTAGCAGCAAGTTTTTGTTGGGCTCCACCATGACGAACTTGACAGAGTTGGGCTCATCTTCACCGAGAAATATCTCTGGCAGCAGGTGGAAGAGCGTGTCACCCAGCAGGCCACCTACGGCGAATGCCACCATGACGGACAGTGACGAGGGGTCGATGTTGGGCGGACATAGAGCAAGGAGGAAGTTGGGGGGACCAGAAATGTAGAGAGTTGCCAGCAGGGAATTGACTGCAGGGCTTCCAGGGAAGAGAAAGGCGAAGATTTGGGCGGTGAGGGAAGAGGTGGTGGGGTTCGAGGCCACCTTGTGCTGGTTGAGAGCTTGCACGAGGGGACATTCCTAATGACGCGTGTCAATGCTGGCTGGGAGATGCAACACGAGGGTGTCGTTGTTTGTTCAAGTTTTGATGAGCTGTACTATAATGGCTCTCGGTACACGGTGAGGGGGTTGGCGCATAGGGTGAGTGTCGTACCTGCAACTGCTCCTCAATATCGTGAACTGTCAGGTTCTCTACTGGGGTGCCTGTCTCGCCCTTGACTGCTGCAGCAGCCACGTTCCAAACGAACACTCCGAGAAAGATTGCTAGGGACAGAAGGGTCCTGTTGCGACGCGACACCATGGCGGCACGTGAATTGATCTCAATGCCGGAATATGGGGTGGTAGAAAGTTGAATTGGTGAGCTAAGGGGTCGCTCAGAGTGTACATGTGGGCGCAACTGTACAGTGGCCTCAGGCGTGTTTCGGGGGTCCGCCTATCGATAAGACTAGCGCCGAGGCCGCAGAAAGTTCGCCAAAACTTTTGGAACATGCGACTCGCGACGTGACCCTCCAACAAACCACCCCCCGCATACCCCCAACCACGTTCCAATCTAGCAGACATGGGTCGCGAGCTCCAGAAGAAGAAGAATAAGTCTTCAATCCCCAAGAAGCGCCAAAAGGGACCGTCCAAGAAGAAGATCCTGCAGAATCCCATCATAGCGAAGCACTGGTACTATGCGCCTTTGCACTCAACATCATCCTGAAATCTAACCACTGCCTCAGGAACCAGAAAGAAACACTATCACAGAATTATCGCCGTCTAGGCCTTACGGCCCGCCTCAATCATGCCACTGGCGGCACAGAAAAGACCATTGCTCTCCTTGGCCTTAACGACGAAAAATCATCGCGCGCCGACACAGCCGCCGGCAGCACTGCCAATGCTCTGAATATTGTCTCCAAAGCGAAGAAACCTGAGAACATCCCAACAGAAGAGATTGAAGTCGAGCGCGATCCCGAGACTGGTGCCATTCTTCGAGTCGTCGGTACGCTCGAGAACAAGAACAACCCACTCAATGACCCGCTAGTCGAAATCGAGGATGGCGAGGAAATGCAGTGGAACGGATTCGCAATGGTACCTGAACACAAAGCGGATGAGCTGGAGAACCCGGTCATCAAGCAGCTGGAGGAGGCAGCCATGAATGGCGCGAGAAAAGCACCCAGAGGCCAGAGCCAGCGAGAACAAGAATGGGTCGAACGATTGGTCAACAAGTACGGCGACGACTACGCTAAGATGGCGAGAGACCTCAAACTCAATCCCATGCAACAGACAGCAGCAGACATCAAGAAACGGGTTATCAAATGGCAGAAGTCACAAGCAAAGGCATAAGGGATGCGGTCAAGCTTTTTACTATGCATGGAAGCAGGCGTCGGGGCGTTTTGGGGCATGACTGTACGTAATGCAACAATCAGCATTCAAATTTACATCACAGAGTTCATCAACCTTGTAAAATGATTTTGCCTCTGAGAACAGGCCCTGTATGCTGATCATCCGTGTCGTGATTTTAAAGGGAATGACTCGCCTCCCGGAACACCCTGAGCTACTAGTCAGTAAACCCTGAATTCAACCCCGCAACACTATCAATCGATCTCAGACCTCATTACAACGCTACCACCGCCCTCGAGCCTGATGTCACACGTATATGAACAGCAGTAACACCCTCTAAGATGTCGACCTCTACCACAACCAAGTCTGCAATAAGTGTTGCCGACGAAAGGCCCGATGTGCCAAGTCACTGCCCGAATACGAGCCTTGCAAAAGGCCCCCTACACATTACCTATACGAACAGCAAAGCAGAACGCCATTGACACGCAAAAACCTGACTCGGGTTGACTAACGGCTTCGTCGATCACAGCCCAAATCGCTCGGGCCAAGCAGTACATCCAAGCCGCCGAAACGCGCATGCGGCATTTAGAAGCAGCCCACAGCAGCGATATAGGAGCGCTTGCCCAACACCACGATGCGATCACGGATGCAAAAGACGGTGACTCGCTTATCGGTGTTTCGATCGAGGTTCCGCCTTCTGGCCTGCCCGACTTCACTTGGGATGAGCAATTGTAGGGCAGCGCTCCAGCCAAGACGGATGTTGGCGGCACACATGCTTCTACTTTGTCAGCTGACGGTGAACGGGTAGCTGATAGCATTGAATAGCTGATGGTGGAAGAAAATAGGGCCGGCTACCTGGGACTCGGTTTATATGTTGCAATGTTGAGACTACTGCACTCTGGCGTGCAACCTTCCTCGTGCATAGCGCCTCCTGTATCCAACCTTGATATCACTTTACCAGACAATGGACGCTGGCTGTATAGTACTCCATTCTAAGGCGTTCTTGATATAGGGAAGGTTCACTCGAATGCCTATTTCAGCTTGTACCGCGAACTCATATCTTCTTGTGGAAGAACATGCGTTTAGTGCTCAATGCACTGAAGTTGTTTGCTGGTCCAACAGTCGCAGCTGACATGTGCCTTTATAGTTGTTGCTATGTACAACCATTTTGGACTTACTCTCTACATGCCTTGAAGGCTATGCCCCCGCATTAAGGTCTATCACTGAGATATTTCACTGCTGGTTTCATTTCGAGTTTTGATATCAACGAAAGTAGAGCGAGCTCAGACATGTTCAGTGTATTTCGCTGATACACGATTCTCGTCAGGCTGAAGTATAGTAACGGAACTTCCTCAACAGGCAATTCCGGATGTGAAAGATATGGAGCAAGGTTCAAACCATCTCCATATTCTGCTGATCGGAGGCGTCTTCTTTCTCTACAAGCTTTACATCATGCAAGGCTCACCATTAGTCATAAATATTCGGATTTCCCTTCGGTTTTAGATATTTCCTCGCAGAGAAAACACCACGTGATCCTTGAAGAGGTGATCAACAGACAACAAAACACTGTGTTGTTCTTCCAATCCATGACATGTTATCTGCTCAGACTGACTGATGAAGCTTTTCGAGTTCAATAGTGTCAATTTTCTTGTTGAATTCTATACAAAAGGCCAAGATTCGGGGTTTGTGAGGTCCAAATGCGGGGGGAGCTGGAGTGGATGGCGTCCGTCAATCTGATGCGGGGTGGATCCTTGACGCACTCCCTAGTCCTATGCCAACGCACTTGAAGCCGGTATGAATTCAAAGAAGAGCAGGTATACCCACTTCGAGATGCTGATCTGTCGATAAGGAAAACTTATCATGGATACTTTTCTTACCCCTCAGTGCAACTTTGCACATCCACGTCGCAATTGATCCCAACCATCCACAATGCCTCTCGCCAAACCATCCAACACCGATGCCCCTGTGCATTCCCTCTTCTCCCTCAAGGGCAAAACCACCGCCGTGACAGGCGGTGTCCGAGGCATCGGTCTCGCAGCCTCGCAAGCTCTCGCCGAAGCAGGCGCCAATGTCGCCATCCTCTACTCGAGCACCAAAGACGCCGACGCCATCGCCGCGCGCATCGCCTCCAGCACCGGCGCAACAGTAAAAGCCTACAAGGCTTCTGTCGAAAACAAAGACGAAATAACTAGCGTCATCAATACAATCGCAAAAGACTTTGGCGGCCTAGATATTGTCGTCGCGAATGCAGGCATCGCAAATCATCGTCCGGCTGAAGACTACACCGAGGAACAATGGCGCCACATCATGTCCATTAATCTCGACGGCGCCTTCTACACCGCACAAGCCGCTGGCGTCATCTTCAAAGCTCAGGGCCACGGCAACGTCATTTTCACTGCCAGCGTCTCCGCCATCTTGGTCAATGTACCTCAGAAACAGGCTGCGTACAATGCGTCCAAAGCGGCTGTCGTGCAGCTAGCGCGGTGTCTGAGTGTCGAGTGGGTGGACTTCGCGCGTGTTAATTGTATTTCTCCCGGGTTCATAGATACGGATATGCTGGATGTGCATCCGAGGGAGTGGAGGGAGAAGTGGTTGAGTATGGTGCCTGCGGGGAGGCTATGTGATCCGGGTGAGTTGAAGGGGGCGTATGTGTTTTTGGCGAGTGATGCGAGTAGCTATATGAGTGAGTTGATCTTCCCCTTGTTTTTTCTCCTGTTTTTTTAGTATGCTGCGTTAAGGTTTACTTGTGATATATGGAAGCTAACTAGTGACATAGCGGGTGCGAATCTGGTTATCGATGGTGGTTATACGTTGCCATAGACTCGGATACCACCCAAAGGCATTGTCCCTTCAAATTGAGCGAACAATACACCAAAGCCTCTGGTTCTGGAGTTATGATATGCATTGCAGACTGCATACATCTTCCTGTACTACCTTCACTTAGGACAAGACTATCAAAGACACCGCCATTGCGTAAACCACTCAAGACCTCTGGACGAATCCCGGACAAGAACCTCACATTCCCCTCCCATCACCCTACCTCCCCAAACACCCACATCTGCACTCGATCTCATCCCATCAATCAACCTGCACTATACCGAAAACCCCCCTCTTCTCCGTCTCCCAGGCCCAAAATCTCACTCCACACCTCTTCCTCGCCACCCCGTTTGTCCAATCCCCACGTTCCCTCTATACGCCGCGTCATGAGCTATGCTGTCATATGGGTGTCGTGATACTTAAGAACCCTTTCGCTACCATGTATGCATGTACGAACCGGAAGCGAGCGGATACGCCGCCCGCCCGGTTGTGTCACGCTACGTACCCGCTTAACGGGCTTCTAGAAGGTTGGTCAAGGGAAAAATGCTTCGGTGGGTAAGCTTTATAAGAGTGTAGCTTCTTTGATTGGGAGGCGCGTCAGCGGGGTGTGACGTCAGTGGTTGGGTGATTGGTTTGGGGGTGATATGGGGGGTTGGAAGGGCTGAGGATCGGGGGTTGTACTATATTGGATAGTTACTGCATTGGGTTTATGTAGTAGTATAGTGTTCTTGTACAATTCGTTGTATGTGATGGGAAGATGGGAAGAGCAGTGTTGATACAATTGCCTGGTAATTTTTCATCTCGCTCTCCTCGCGTTCCCCCAGATTCCATCCCAGCACCGTCCAAACCACGATCACACCACCCCAGCAGGAACGATTCAAGAACGGTTCTTCAGAGCCACATGATGCACCGAATCAGCAGTATTACTACAGTATCATCCGCACCCTTCCGCCCCACACACACGTCGCCATCGCCATCGCACACCAGCCAACACCCGGTCTCGTGGCCACGGGGGGGTCCAGGAAGCGGGGAAAGAAAACGAATGAACATGCAGTCAGCAATGAACAAGAGCGAATTAGAATCCCAGATTCCGAGTTGACAAATGGGTTGCCTGCTTTCATGCTCAGGTATATAAGGCGGGGTGGGTTACGCAATGTAGAAGAGCCGCAAGATGCCTTGTTACGCCTGAGTTCTTTTTTTGAACCAGTACTCAGATCTACTACTAGTTAATTGTTAGCAAGAGATTTGACAGAGGAGAATAGTAATGAACAAAATAAGGGAGAAGATCAAGGGGTTGACGGGTAGTGGACCGGTGGAGAAATCGTCGCGGTGGGTGGGTGAGCATGCTGGATATGATAATACACCGTTGCCTCGCCTGACCAGGGCGGGATTGGGGATGGGAGTTTTGGTGTCAATGGGAGGATTTGTTTTTGGGTATGAATACTTCTCTCTCTTCTTCACTATGCCATCTCATTACTCCTCTCCTTCTATTACTGCACTACTCTGCTCTTTTGCTAACATTTATGGTTGCGCAGCTATGACACTGGTCAAATCTCTGGTTTCCTGGAGATGGTCGACTTCCGACGTCGCTTCGGTCAGAGACACCGCAATGGTGAACTTTACTTCTCCAACGTGAGATCAGGTCTCATTGTCGCTTTGCTGTCCATTGGTACACTTTTTGGAGCGCTCATTGCGGCACCGATCGCAGATAAGATTGGTAGGAAGATGAGTATCATTGCCTGGTGTGGCATTCTCTCTGTGGGTTTCATAGTACAAATGACTGCAACCGACAAATGGTATCAGATCATGATGGGCAGATTTGTTGCTGGTCTAGGAGTCGGAGCCATGAGTCTGCTCGTTCCAATGTATCAGGTGCGTATACACGTAGTTGTGGTGACTGGCAGATGTACCGGAGGCTAATGACGTGCAGGCGGAAACGGCTCCGCGCCATATTCGTGGCGCTCTCATCTCAACTTACCAGCTCATGATCACCTTTGGTATCTTCCTTGCTGCCGTCTTCAACTATGCAGCTGAAAAGCACCAATCTGGTAAAAAGGCTTCATGGCTTATCACATTGGGACTTTCATTCGTACCCGCTGCGATTCTCGCCGTCGGTATCTTATGGTTCGACGAGACGCCCCGCTTCAATTTCCGCCATGGTAGAGTGGACAAAGCTACCAAGACAATGGTCGAGGTATATGGTGTACCCGAAAACAATTACGCCATCCAAATGGAACTCGAGGAGATGAGGGAGAAGTTGGAAGCTGAGAGCAAAATCACCAATAATCCTATTCAGGAATGGATCGGGATGTGGTCGGCGCCGAAGATGGCGTATCGTATTGCGATTGGTATGGGATTGCAGATGTTCCAACAACTGACAGGAGCCAACTACTTGTTAGTATCTGCCCCTCTTCGTATAGATTACACTGACACTTTGAAGCTTCTACTACGGCACCACTGTTTTCGCGGGTACCGGTATCAAGAATTCTTTCGTAACACAGATGATCCTTGTTAGTATTCCTGATCCCAGAAGTTGCTTGAGGTCCAGACTAATCATTAGTAGAACGGCATAAACTTCGGGGTCACCTTCTACGGCTTGTATATTGTTGAACATTATGGCCGCCGCAAGTCACTCATTGCCGGTTCGTGCTGGATGTTCATCTGCTTCTTGATCTTTGCGTCTGTTGGCCACTTTTCGCTGGACCGAGAGAACCCAGAGAATACGGAGAGTGCGGCAACGGCTATGATATGCTTCGCCTGTTTCTTCATTTTTGGATTTGCTACGACCTGGGGCCCGATGATGTGAGTATATCTTCCTTCCTTAAGACGTCAATTGCTGATGATTGACTAGCTGGACAATCTGTGGTGAGCTGTACCCCAGCCGTTACCGTGCGAAAGCCATGGCATTGTCAACAGCATCAAATTGGTTCTGGAATTTCCTACTGGCGTTCTTCACCCCATTCATTACTGGAGCCATCGACTTCCGCTACGGCTATGTCTTTGCTGGAACTAATGTCCTTGGCGGCCTCATCGTCTACTTCTTCGTTATCGAGGGCCAAGGCCGTACCCTGGAGGAGATCGATACGATGTACTTGATGGGAGTCAAGCCTTGGGAAAGCTCAAAGTGGGTGGTACCTAGTCTTGAAGAGATGAACAGTAAGACAAGGCAGCAGCTTGAGGCGTTGAATCCAGAGTTGGCGTTGAAGAAGGAGGTTGCGAGCGGCGAGAATGGTGTCCAGAATGGCGCCAGTGCAGCAGAGATAGAGAAGAGTTCTGGAGACAGTGATACTGCTGGGGAAGCGAACAGGGAATCGACAGTGAAGGATAAGGACATCGAGCCGTAATAAAGATACCGGGCTCAATCACTTGCTGGGATTGTCCTGCGGTGAGGTAGAGCAGTCCCATCTCGTTCGTCATGTACATAATACGGCAAGCCTGGCCCTCATGGCCAACCTAATGAGCATATACGTATATCATCAGCATTCTGAAATTGTGAAATACATGAGCGTTAACTCAAGGATTGTCAACTTTTTTCGACTGGGCATGGTGTTGTGGATGACATGCTTGAGGCACGTGAAGACAACCCCGCTTCGGATGATCCGGCTGAACAACGATCCTGGATCCTTGACTTTGGCAGGTTACGATACTGTAATGTTGCGAGGAGTGGGCGGCTGAGTGTTTGTTCGAGAAATTCTGGGTCTTACAGCGCCATGTCATGGGATGACCACGCGTAAGGTAATATTTAAAGAGCTCGGGGGTCACTGCATTGGTCTTGTGTCTCCTCACACCACATGTTTTGACACTTGACGTAACCTCATTCAGCGCTGACAGCTGCAGTGTACTTACCGTAAGAAAACATTAACAGACATAAAATGGATTTCGGCCTGGCCGAAACACGACTTTCTTAGGCCGCCCAGGGAAAAATCATCAAGTCTAGTCTGCACCTAGTCTCGGCGTTCCAAGCCGCCACCATTCAGGCCAAGAACCCTCTCCAGCCAGGAAGATCAGATAAGATGGAGCTTATCACTAGTGGACGAACTATAAGACTCCAACACACGGTACATAGGTGCGCCATGTGGTCATCGCACAGACTCGCGGGATGGGCTGAGGCATGGTCGCGTGGTGGAAGTCTCGTCGGCCAAGTCACCGCTCTCCTTGGCGGTAAAATGAATTGCCAATAGCACACCGCTGTCGGTCAACCCGTTCGGGTGAATCAGCAGGGTTGCAACGCAGGGTCGATCAGATAAAGTAGCGTCCCAGCCGTACCATTGTCTTGGGAGTTTCCGCGAAAACTCGATTTTCGACGCGCCCTCTCTTTCACCACTGGTTCGACTATCTTTTTTTGTTGGATGCGATTATGAGGGACTCGATGCGGCCTGATGAGGGTCTTGATGGCCAAGTTCTTCAAAATCGAACTGATAATCCAGAGTTTGGAAAAGATGCGGATTACGGCCATGAAACATTTCCGGGCGAAACTTCGGGTCGAGGTACCACTCAGGCTGGTGTAAAGCGCATCGAGGCTGTGAGCAAGGCGTGGACAAAGGCATCGCTCATCGTCGCCTATGTCTCGTAAGTCGGTTGTTCTTGATACATTGTCAACAAACTAACCTTGTGTCCAGCCTTCTCCTCATCGCCAATGTCACCTCCCTCGAGATCCAGGTCACGGGTGCCTTGGTACCATTTGCAACAAGTGCCTTTTCTGCGCATTCTCTGGTTTCTACCGTCACTGTTGTACAGGGTGTGGTTGCCTGTAAGTACTCATCATTTCGTGTCTATGAGCAGCCAATAATGAAATTATGCAGCCGTCATTAAACCTCCAGCGGGAAAGATCGCCGATGTTTTCGGTCGCCTGGAGTCCTTTACTATCATCGTCACTCTGTACACTCTCGGCTATATAATGCAGGCCGCCTCCAATAGCGTTCAAACATTTGCTGGAGCACAAATATTTTGGTCGATTGGCTTCAACGGATTGCAGGTCTTGCAGCAGATTTTCGTAGCCGACACCACGGACTTGCTGAACCGTGCACTATTCTCAACCCTATTCGATCTACCTTTTCTGTGGACGACCTGGGCTGGACCAGAGGTTGGACAGTCGATTCTTAAAAACACTACCTGGCGGTGGGGATACGGCATCTGGGCTATCATTTTGCCGATTTGTTTCATCCCATTGGCAGTCAGCCTCTTCACGAATCAACGGCGAGCGAAGAAATTGGGGTTCGAAGTCCCTAGCCCGTTCCGAGGTAGTAGCGCCTTTCAAGTCATCAAGAACATTTGGTTTGATCTTGATGCTGGTGGGCTGTTACTATTTGCTGCTGCCATCTCTTTGATCTTACTGCCACTTACACTAGCTCCAAATGCCGACGGGAAGTGGACCAACCCAAGCATGATCGCTATGCTTGTAGTTGGCGGTGTGTTACTACTCTTGTTTCCGTTGTGGGAGACTAGCAAGAAGCTAGCTCCAATCGCATTCTTCCCACCTGGGTTGTTCAAGGAGCGAACCATCATCGCGGGTGTCTTGATCGCATTCTTCTATTTCAGTAAGTCATAACCAAACTTGACAACTGGGCATTACTGAGAATTTGACAGTGGCATTCTACATGTCGGTCTTTCCGTACTTCTACTCCTACCTGCAGATCGTTCAGGGCGAGTCCCTCACTGCCGCCAGCTATATCACACGAGTATTCAGCTTCAGTTCGACAGTCTCGTCGGTCGTGGTCTCACTCATGATCAAGTATACAGGCCATTACAAGTACTATGTCACTTGCGGATCTGCCATCTACCTCTTGGGAATGGGCCTCATGCTAGCCTACCGCACGCAAGACGCGTCTACAGCTACGCTTGTAGGTACTCAGATTGTGATCGGTATCGGCGGTGGTTTTCTCAACGTCCCGGTACAACTCGGTGTCCAAGCATCGGCTTCGCATCAACAAGTTGCAGCGGCAACGACCGTGTGGCTTACGCTCCTTGAAGTTGGTGGCGCTGTTGGATCAGCTATCTCTGGCGCGATTTGGTCAACTTACATTCCTGCAAAGCTTCAGCAGTACCTCCCTGAAGCAAATGCAGCAGACTGGGCAACAATCTACGGCAGTATTACAGTGGCTGCGGATTACACCACCTATCCACCTGGCTCACCAGTTCGCATCGCGATCAACAGGGCATACCAAGAGACGATGCGTTATCTCCTCATTGGTGCCCTTTGTTGCGCTGCGCCTATCTTGCCACTAACATTCTTCCTCAAAAACTATAAGCTCGACCAAATGGATCAAAAGGTGGTTGGTAATGTGGTTGGAAGTGCGGAAAAAAAGGATAAGGGGAAGAGCTGGAAGTTCTGGCAGCGTCGTTAGTACGCAAGGTTGAGACACAAGGCTCCTTACTCGTAACAGCACCTCTGTGGCGGCGGGAATTCCCCGACTGCCATCAACAGTTGAATTCAATCCATGGAATTACCACATCCGGCTCCGTCAATCTTAATAATCATTTTACTATTGCTCGCGAAGAAGAAAATCCCGCATTCGGCCACCCGTATCTCCGCCAAGCGTATGTTTCATGGTCCGCGATGAACCATGAATCGTGGGTAGCCTGCCAAGAACCGGTACGACGTTACTGAGACTTGGCTGCGACTTGGGTCTGTAGCTTAATTCGAACATGGAAGGTGACGAGTATCACGTCTCAAGGATCACAGCTTTGCTAGATTCGGTAAGTCACTGGGTACGTACGCGACTCCACCGCATAACAGGGCGAACAGTCGCATCTGTCAACCAATGCCTGCTATGAAGTTATTTGGATCTGCGGTTTATCGAATGTCCGGAGAAATGCTTGTGATGTTGTCGACTTACCAAGAGGGCCGGAGATTCATCACGATTCGAAGCCAAATTTGCAAGAAAAAAGGGGATTCCTCATCAAAAGATTTGAGATTTGAAAATTTTAAATCCTCTAACACATTCACAATCCAAGCGTCGTTTTTTAGGGCTCCTTCCACAATCAATATCCATACATAGCCATCCGTGAAAAACTCCTCAGTCTCCAGATCTGTTGTATACATGAGACCTGGTGATACTCGCCGGTAAAAAGAAAAGAAAACAAAAAAACTCCGCGCTCAAGTCCGTTGCAACATCATCCCGCTACCGATTTGTATTCGGTAAAATCTCTTAATTGCGAGTGGGGGAAAAAAGGAGTGCCGATGGAGGGGAAAAAAGCCAAGGTAATAATTATATCACTTAGACTTCGGTGATGGCGACAAGAGTCATCTTGGGCGCATCTTGCTCCTCGACGACCTCGTCGCGCTTCTCCTTCTTCTCTGAGCCACCGGCAGCAGCAGAGCCAGCGGGAACGTTGACACCAGGGTTGACAATGATACCGACACCAGCGTTCTCGGTACCGAGCTCGACCTTGGGCTGGTCCTTGAGGGCCTCCTTGGCGTAGCCGAGAGCAGCGTTGAAGCCGGCGAGATCGCGCTTGATCCACTGCATGGCCTCCTCGACGGCTTCCATCTTGGGCTCGACGGGAGCGCGCTTGGCGAGGATGTCGTTGATAGCGCGACGGAGATTGGATCGTTTGGCTGGTGCACCTTCAGCTGGTTGTCCTGCAGGTTGTTCACCGCCAGCTGCGGGAGCGGCGCCCTCACCTCCAGCCTTTGCTGCTGCTCCTGAAGCCAATGTGGCCATCAGTTCTGATGCTGATTCTGTTGATCCCAGCGAGATTTCACCATCACCGACCACCAAGGCAGGCGAGTAGGCTCCCAAGTTGATGTTAAGGGGGACGGCAGCGACGGTGGCGACGAGCGCAACGAGGATGTGTTGAGGAAGCATGTTTGCGGGTTTTGGGTTTTTGAAATCTTTCGATTAAAGAGTAAAAGATAGGAGTTGTCGGGTAGTGATGTTTCACAAAAATATAGAATAGGTGATTGTAGTAAGTAAATTACTTCGCACGGCGAGGATAGTGAATGAAGAGTATGTGAAGAAGTGAAAGTGAGTGACCGGACTGAAGAACAGAAGAGTGTGGATTGAACATCTTCTTATACTGTGTATACCCAACTTCAACAGTGACTACGGACGAGCACTGTCACATCCTCTGCCAAGATACGTTAACCAGCTTCAAAGTGGTATGAAACTTTAATGAAGCTGTGCCAAGTCCTACAAGCACAGCATGGCAGAGCTTTACTTCTCCGACCAGCGTTGCCAAGCTTCCTCGACTGTTTGATGTTGGGTTAGAACTGTTGTAAGGAAAGGCTAGTGCAGAATTCATGCTAGCTGGCCGGTTCAATGCACAGGGATAACACCCAAAGCGGGTCAATAGCCAAGTTCTTTGGCCTCACCAAAGGCCGAGGCCTCAATATTGATGGGGGCCTCAATGATCGCTGTGGAGTATAGGTAGTCTTAAAGTTAGACTAGTAAGACGCTTCTATAGTCCAACTGTTTAGTGTGGGGATAGTAGCAACAATTCGAATCAACACTGGAAAGTAATCGCATAGCAGCCTTGCTTCACGGAAATTGGCAAGCAGATTGCCCTTAGAGACGTCAAGCCCAGTGACTGATCACGGAGAACTATAGGTGTTGCCAAGCTGAACCCAAGGCCATGACACCTGTAAATCGCGGGCTGAGCAGCAATGCTTGAGTTTCCAAGCCTGTCGCTGCTCCACGAGGCTGAATTGCCAAGTATATGTGAAGCGGAGATTCTAGCGAAAAGGCGTTTGGGGGGGTCACCTACCGCAACAGGTATCAATAGCCGTTGCCTCAGGCATGGGTGGTTGGATTTCGTAGGTGTTCGTCTGAGGGTGATTGGAATCCAGACTGACATCGCTCGGCGATGTGCTTGAAAAAGGCTAAGCCTCCAACGCAACACTTGGCGTCTTAGCTGCGTGGAGCGGAGTACCAGGGTTACGACTCGGAAACGCAGTGGGAGATTCCAAGACGTGACAGTTGCTTCGCGTATTGTTGACTTGTGGAGCCAAGCGACTCCGTTTATGGCTTAAATCCAACTAAGTTGCAACACTTGAAATGCTTGGCCCATGGGGAGGCCGCTGAAATTGCTCCCTCTCCAGGCACATAGTGGGGCCTGATATCGAGGCCTGAGGTGCTGCTTCTTGTGAATGGGCAACCATCTGCGGAGACTGACGCGCGCCCGCGTTTGGCTGGCGCGTGTCTACATTGCCGTCGATCGTTCTTGCAGCTCCATCGCCATTTTGAGATATACTCCAGGTATTAAGGCTCAGTGGCTTGGTATCAGACTTAGCTGCCATTGTTCAGGGGACGTGTCAGGCCCTATAGAGGGGGGAAAGTAGTGCGGCGGGGGCGAGGAAAGGAGAAAGGCAGCAAGAGACGGCAGTGGTTGTCTGGGGTTCCCTCAATTCCCCTCTGCGCGCAGTCTCGACCTTCAAACTCCTGCACTGGCAGTTTTTGCCACCACCAAAAGGGATCCCTGCTAGTGGTCGCGTGTATATTTCCGAAGACCATTTGCCGAGATACATCGAGGACTTCTTCTCATTACTCATATCGCGCTCAAGCATCCGCCCAGCTGTACCAAGGCTGTTGATACTTAATTCCAGAGGACGGGTACGTCCCCACGGGTAGTTGCCATGATGGCAATGCAGCGCCAAACTCTATTCAAGCTTACATGCGCGCCGTTTCCGACCGGTAGGTTTCCGAGCGGTACCCGGGATTGCGCGATGCTGGAAACTATTCCGATCTTAGTTAGTCAGAAATGGCACGAACCAAAGGAGATCTCGAAATACCCTGCACATGCAGCAGCCGTTTCAACGGAACACTTTGCGCCGACTTGAAACACGATGCACTTCAACCCTCTTGAATCACACACGTGTGGCGGAATTTCCCAATGGTGGCACATACGAGGAATGTCTGCTGTCACCGTCACAGGGAACCGCGTATACGCGCCAAACTACTTCACAGCCGTTTGAAATGCATTGAACTCAAAGTTCCAGAACTATTCCAACGTGTCAAGCTACTGGGCAAGACCTGGGACCTCAACTTGTCATTTGTACCAAAAGTTCGGGGAGAAGGAAAGCCTTCATTAGTGAAGCAGGGCTGTTCAAGCAGACCCGCTACAGTAACCCCGCGCTATGCAAAAATTTCACAACCTACCAGCAGTCCTCGTAGAAGCCACTGAGGCAACTGAACATTCGGTTGAGCTCATTAGTGTGCAATTATTTCTATATTAATTTTGCAAATTTCAAAATTTCCATCGAACAAGGCTCGGTGGTGTAGTTGGTTATCACGTCAGTCTAACAACCTGTTAGGCCCACTGAAGGTCCCGAGTTCAAACCTCGGCTGAGTCAAAGCCGGAGCTTGTATGAGCTTCATCTTTTTTGCAATATTTTTGTGCTTGATGGTGTTGAGTAGTCGAGTCGAAGACGACTGGCTCGTGGCACCTTTTTTGCGTTTGAGGAGTATCGTGAAACATGAAATTTCCCAGCTAGTCATCCTCATCATTGAGGCATGAAGAGCCAAGTTCATTGGCGCCTCACTATTATCGTGTAATACCAGAATGTTGACGATCTAGGTTGAAGTCTGGGAACTCGAATGGGATGGTCATCGAGCAGTTTTTATCAACATGAAAAAAAAGTAGCAGTTGCAGCAATATGCTAGTAATCACGTTCTTTTTGGTCCAGGGTATCAGCTTGGAGCAAACTGGACGGCCCATCCCGTTCTCGACGTATCACAAGCGGGGATAATGCTGAAGAGAATAACGAAAATACGCCCTTATTGTGCCAAGGCAGCAGAGTCGAGCTTACTGATGCGACGAATATCCAACGACAACAGTTACGTCAAAAAAACAGCGCAGTGAGGGCACAGACAACCACCCCAAACAGCACTAATTGTTTCAATCACACATTATACGCGCAAATCACATAGGAACACTTGAAATGATTTTTTTTCTACCACTACGAAGAAGCTAAGGAATACTCCCAGTCGAGCGCTCAGACTTTGAAGCTATCGACGTTCTTCTTCACCACATCGTACGAATCCGACCTGAAGTTGTCGTCGGTGTAGCTATTACTATTCGCCCCGAAATTAATCAACTTCTTGCCCTGGCTCCACTGCGGCCAGTTGTCAAAGTCGTTACCGACATTTGGATCGAGGTTGTGGACGAAGGAGAAGTAGTAGCCTCGGATTGTCTTACGGGCGTTGTTGGGGAGAATGCCGAAGAAGACTTGGATAAGGTCTGAAGCGTGGAACGTGCCGAGGAGTGGGGTGCCGTAGTTGTAGGTCGCGATGTAGGACCATGAGGGCACGCCTGGGTTTACTTGGGTGTGTATCTCGGAGAAGAGGCGGCGGGTCAAGATGAAGGTCAGGTCACCGATCATGGCGGAGATGCGCTTGAATTGGGGAGTGAAGTTGTTGAGCAAGCCGGTGCGGAAGGGTGCTCCGTCCTCGGTGGTGGTCTGGTAGCTGCTGACTAGATCTTCGATTTGTTGCCGAGTGGCACTGTTGAAGAACTGGGTAGAGAAGTAGTTTGTAAGCTGGCTGGTTGTGGTGATGTTAAGGGTGAAAATGCCGAATAATGTCCCCTCGTCTTCTTGGGTGCCGGCGATGAAGGGGACCTTGGTGTACTTTCCGGCTCTCACCAGGACATCGGGTGAATCTGTAAGAGTCTTTCCATCGGGACGTGGAAGGTAGGACAGATTTACTGTAGAGTAAGATGCGAGACTTGGAACGCTATTGGCAGCATTAAGGAACTTGGTGTATGGGGTTGTGCGGAGACATGCCAGAGTATCACTTGCGCTCTTGCATCCAGCTTCCTCGACAACCTGTCATATAATTAGCGTCAAGAGCATGTGCTTGACTAATGGAGAACTTACCTTATTATAGACAGCTTGGCCCTTTGGACAGTCTACGGGATCCGCAGGAACAATGGATCCGGAGTTCATGATTCCTGCTCTGAAGAGAGGCTTGCCTTTGTAGGTGTTGTCACCATTGTAAAGTAGCATCTGGTCCATCACTGAGATGGATCCAGCGCTCTCTCCCCAGATTGTGACCTTGGTTGGATCACCACCAAAGGCAGCAATGTTATCTTGAACCCATTCCAATCCTAGTCGTTGATCGAGCAATCCGAGGTTAGCGGAGCCGTCCTGGAGGACTTCTTTTCCAGGCAAGAAGCCAAATCCTCCGACGCGGTAGTTAACAGCCACGAAGATAATGGGCTTGCCTTGTTCAACAGATTCGCGGACCAGGCTGGTTCCATCGTACATTTGAGTTGAGCCAAGTTGGAAGCCACCGCCAAAGATCCAGAAAAGTACCGGTAGCTTAGCGTCAGGCTTTGTGCCGGATGGCCTCTGAACGTTGATGGTCAAACAGTCCTCTCCAGCATTGGTGACTGTTTGGAAGAAGGGAATGTTGAGTATGTTTCCCAGAACATTCGAAGGAATGCTTGAACCGTCTACGCTAAGGAGGAATTGGGGACATGCCTTTGGTTGGCCGGTACCATCAACCGTTCCAAGGTCGGCAGTCAATGGCTGAGGCGGCTTGAGTCGTAGCTGGTTGATAGGTGGCTTTGCGTAAGGTATTCCTTTGTAAGACTCGACATTTAGAGCGTCGACACCGACAACAGTGGCTTTGGGCAAAGGCGCAATCACTGTAGGGTTTGCACGCTTGGCGAGGGTCGCTGGAGCCGCGTAGGCCAATGGGAGGAGAGCTAGGGCCGCTAGAAACTTCATGATGGAATACTCTTTTCCACAAGCCCTGCTATGGCACAAAGTGAAGTTGAAAAGCTTTGTGATTTTCTCATCAACGGCCAAGTAGCATGGTACTTAACCACTTGGTGGATGCAATTTCACAAGCAAGCAAGTCCCTTCTCAGGCACCAACCTCGGGCAAAAGGTACATCGACGATGTCCATGTGATGGACTCCCTGTGGGCTCTCGATACGATTCCCAGATTTACCGTGATCTTAACAGTAACCTTGCTCCGATAGATACTTCCCTGGTTCCTGGAGTGCAGGTCAGCCTCTATTGGGTGGAGTACCCTCCATCAGCCTCGCGTGAGCAGTAGGGTTTGTAGAAACGATGAATACAACCTATCAGATCAGATCGCGCTACACATCAACCAGGGGAAGTATCCAGAAGAGGGCTGGGCTATTATTACATGGCTTGGGGCGCTTACTCGTACTACTTCGTAGGTCATGGGGCTAGCAATCACTGAACGGACGAATTTGGCACACCATAAATATAGTCTCGCGAATAGTGCCAACGGCAATAAAATGGAGGGTGGAGAAATCCATTCCTGTAATTTTTTCCTGCTCTCTGCCTTCTGGGTAGGATTTTTTTCGAAGAAGTGTGAGAGAATGCGATTCATTCACTTTGGTGTGGTGACGTATGTAGTGGGATGGATAGTACGGCATCGTTATCCCGGTCAACAAAGTGTAGTCCCCAATCCGTTTTTCGTAGATGATCCGAAGCTTGGCCAGTTGTCATCTGTCAATGCATTAACGGCGGAGGTATTGCCTCTACGGATTGGCTTGGGTAGTCCCGCGTGGCTCAAAATGCGGGGTAGTGAACAGGGATGGTTTCCCCATACTCTGACTGAACTAGACTGCCGATGCATTTTCAAGTATTGTTAATTAACAAAGACGCCTCGGTACATTTTCTCTGTCGCTATAAAGCAAAACTTTATACCACATGTGACAACGTGACGGAAGATCAACCCTACAACGAACAATGTCCGAGCATCTAGTAGTACAATCATGGAGTAAGCAGCCATCCTTGGCAACAGGAACCGGCGCTCAATGGGTCAAGAGATTCCGGCTGCTACTAGCCGTGCGTGGGGATTTCTGCGAAGCATACGAAGACTTGTGGGGTATGGTTCTCGCCGAAAAAACATGGCTCCTTTAGGTACAGCGTACTCAAGGGATCCCAGGTCATGATCAGTCGCTCGCTCCTTTTTCCATACGGCCGTAAATAAGAGAGGAAGGCAGAGTTTGATAGTGTCGCTTTGTGTTCCTTGTCAATTTTTCCAGTAAGTCATAAGCACTTGTGATGAGGGCGAGCAGCGAGTATCGATTGTAAGTTCTAGCAGCTGCCGCCAATGAGATAGAAACAATCCAAAATATTTTGGTCTTCTGAAATATGTAGGAATAATCGACACTAACTAGTGTTTATTTTCAATTATTGCAAGTCATTCTTACTACAATACTGTCCAGAGTCACGTGAGGCGATCCATGTTAGACATTTTATCGATAAGCATACTCGCATTCGTCCGATCTATTTTAAGGGTCTGGCCATCTTGGCATATTGTTCGCAGGGAAAAGGGGTTGATATCTTTCTACAAGAGCCATATGCTGGCTATGAAAGCCAGTCTCCACTAGCCGGACCGCTATGCCGCAGGATTCTGTAGGTGTGTAGATCATCAATACATTTCGTCTGTTACTAAATGGGTTGATAATGACGAAATGCTCAAGCAACACCATCACAGAAGCACATCCATCACAGCACAGCGGCCCAATAGCAGTTGGAAACTACTATCTGCGCATGAAATGCTTAATCAGCTCTTATCGCGAGCGCGTCTGGATGTACTGCGTAAGACAGACTCGATAACGGTGTTGCGTACGCTCTCGGGTAAATGCAAGGTCTTGTGCGGCTGGGTTACAGCTTTCAGCCCCCCTCGGCTGCAACACGAGACAATTGGTTGATCCACTTCAGGCGGACAGCAGGATGATGTCTCCTATACCTGTCAGCTTTGCATACAATGGGCACACCAAGCGTTGCCGATTCACTTGGATGGGATTGTAAGACATGATCTCACATTCAAAAAGACGCACGTTCCCATTGTACATTATTAAGATTTGGCAACAACATGATAGCTGAAAGTTGATGGTAAATCCATCGCCTTGAGCCAGGCTCCACCCGAGGTCCTACGCCCCACCTGCATGCACCCGTAGGCTGACACGGAAAATAGAAACGCGCTGTTCCTGGCCAGTAAGGATGTTGAATCTGCGCACAGCACTTTTCTTTTCAGCTCTGCAACCCCAATGCCTTTCCGCATCTCTTACACATAGGCAAAGGACATGGCTGGTTCGCTGCTTCAGCTCTCCTGCTGGAAACCATCTGTCCGACTCTTCCACATTCTTTCCTGATTCCTGATGGCGTATTTCGAGATCAACATAACGCCTTTGCGCTTCAATAGCAAATGCATTACTTTTCCAGAATGGATCGCGTTGTTTACACTCTGTCTCGCACCACTGATAGCTGTACGTATTGCTCGATACATGTGTTTAAAAAAGAAAAACTTTGTCGGTAGACTAACACGACCGTCTCCCTTCGCAGCACGTGGCTTCAGGAGCACCTCCGATATCGTATCTCACGGACCGTCGACTCAGATGGTACGATCACATTTGCATTTACAATCCCACATCTATCATTTGGCGCTACGCTGCCATTACGGACCGGCGAATTCGTGCTATGAACTGGAGTCGGCAAGACTTTGCGGCTAGTAACGCGATATTCTGGACCTCGAACGGATGGGACGGTAGTGAACAAATGACCTCTGCTACTGCGCAGTACTGCTTGCGATATCCGGAAACTACGCACGCAAGGCCCCTTTCGTTGACAACCCTAAAGACTGTCATCACGACTCTGCAGGGAGTCTCAGCCCTTATGATTTTGATTGGAGCCATTTCTGGATCCTCGATGCTTTCAGGTCGTGTTGGATTCGGCGTCGATACGATATTCTTCCCGCTTGCGATTTTGGGACTATTGCGACTGTGCGCCGCCGCATGGTTGACAGACGACTACGTTTATCAGGATTATGGGCAGCGGACAAACTCTACGTGGGAGATGACTTCGCAAAGTTCACAAAGGCTTGTCGATAAAGATGATGAGATTAATGTCCATGAATCTCGCACTGGACTAGATCCGCTACTAGTATCGAGGTTCCAATCCGCCGGCTTTAGGTCTCCTGGATCCTCGTGGGGCAGCCGTATATTCCGCTTCTTCTTTCTGGGCATACTTTGGGGGGTTTGGGTGTTGGCAGTTTTCTGCATTGCACCAAGTATCAGGGGCGGAGTGACCACCTATACCACTACTTCTTTCTTACTCAGCTTGTATTATTTCCTCTTCGCTACTGTAACCGCCGCCACTTTTACATTGTTCTTCTTCCGAGGCAAGACGACAAACACCATATTACCGTGCATATCCAGCACGTGGTACAGGCTCTACACCATTTTATTCACGGGCCTTATGATCGGCCTTATTGTCATTGCGAGCATAGAAACAAATAAGACCGTCGACGGGAGTTATAGCAGCTGGGAACCAATGGAGGATCTTGGATGTTTGGACCCTGTCAACTGGTGGTTGCTGGGGCCATCATCTCCAATAATGGGCTTTGCATCTAGGAAGGAGTTGGACGAAAAATGGCTGAGGCAGGATCAAAAAAGTTTACCAGTGGCGAGCATGAATGGGACTAACTCGTCTGCATCAGAGAAGTTTTGGTTGTACAATTTCACGGGTTACTGTGTAGAACTTATGTACTAATATGCCGCATATGTAATGGACAGGACTGGATGCTATGATACACCGGGTTGCACACTAGAAACCCATCAGCAATTTTTTTTAAATTCCCAAACATAGCTTGGTTAATAAATTGTAATAGGCGAGTTCTGGGGGACATGTTTTCGCCATCCGATAAATACTGGCTTTGCAAACCTCGCGCTCTTTATACCTCTGGAATAGCTAGGCTGAGATAGGCTAGCGCAGAACGCGACACTCAATGGGCAATGACGATGACGCGCTTCACACCATTCATTTTCCCATCCATACACACAATGCAAAGCTGTACTTGAAAACGATATACCAGTATCCCAGAGCAGCCTCTATAACCAGTTTGCAATTCACATAAAAGACATGCGCCAAAGTAACACTTGAACACACCAAATAAACTACCCCACCATATCCCACCCAGCGCCCGCCAAACCCACCACAACCAACCAAAACCATCCAAAAAGAAACAAAACAAAATGCCACAGCCGACCGACATCCCCTCGTTTGCGAGCACGCAACTGACGCTCCTCTCCGCCGAGCTCGAGGCCGAGCTCTCAGAAACCAACGAGCTCCTCACGTCGCACACGCCCTCAGCACTAGCGCGGGCAGGCCTCGCAATCCTAAACCTTAACATCACCTCTATACGCACAGGGTTGGGCGGCAAAACCGTGCTCGAGCTCGGACTCGACAGCGCAGTCGTAAACAAAGGCGCTGCCCCGGATATCCCTGAACACGGGATCCGTGTGGGGGATATTGTGGCGGTGCAGGAGCAGGTTGGGGCGAGTGCGAAGAAAGGGGAGAAGAGGGAGGCGGCGAAGAGGGGGGTCGAAGGCGTAGTGTTGAGGGTGAGACGGGAGAATGTTGAGGTTGTGCTGGATAAGGAGGAGGATGGGGTAAACGGGGGTGGCAGGTTGTGGATGTGGGTTTTTACTGCTATTTTAAGACGAAGTTTTTGGACTCGATTGATGAGGCTGATGTGTGTTTTAGAGTCAAGTTGGCCAACGATGTCACATACAAGCGGTACGTTTCTATTGTTTTTGCCTTGGGTTCTGACGTGGATGCTTATGATGGGGTTAGGATGAACCAGACTATGAACAGGCTACAGAAGCTAGGGGATCAGGACTATTCACCCTTCATGCGAGTGTTGTTTGGACAGGCGTCGCCGTCTCCACTCCCAACGGATCTTAATGATCCTTCGAATCCACTACACAAACTCGAGTGGATCGATCCTTCCCTGAACGATAGTCAGAAAGAAGCGATTAGGTTCGCATTAGCCTCGAGAGAGGTTGCTCTCATTCACGGACCACCGGGCACAGGCAAGACGCATACGCTTATCGAGCTGATCTTGCAGTTACTCAAGCAAAAGCTACGTCTGCTAGTATGCGGTCCGTCCAACATATCGGTAGACAATATTGTCGAGCGGCTAGCCTCTCACAAGGTACCCATGGTGCGCTTGGGACATCCAGCGCGGCTACTGCCCTCAGTCCTCAGCCATTCTCTAGACGTACTCACACGGACTTCAGAAGCGGCTGCATTGGTAGAAGATGTGCGCAAAGAAATGGACGAAAAACAGGCATCGATTCGCAAGACGCGTAATGCAAAGGAGCGACGACAGATCTACACTGAGCTGAAAGAGCTGCGTCAAGAGTTCCGAGAGCGAGAAAAGGGATGCGTCAACAACCTGGTCACAGGTAGCAAGGTGGTGCTGGCCACGCTACACGGCGCAGGTGGATTCCACCTCAAGGGGCAAGAGTTTGACGTTGTTATTGTGGATGAGGCAAGTCAGGCGTTGGAAGCACAATGCTGGGTGCCGCTTCTGTGGACAAAGGCGAATAAACTAGTACTTGCAGGAGACCATCTCCAGCTTCCGCCTACGATCAAATCCCTGAACTCCAAGGAGGCCAAGACGGCCAAAAAGAGCAAGGACAAGAAGACCAAGGGTGCAGAGGATAATGCGGATAGATCCATGTTAAAGCAAGGAGAAGGTATAACACTGGAGACGACACTGTTCGATCGACTTCTGGCCTTGCACGGCCCGTCGATCAAGCGTATGCTAACGACGCAATACCGAATGCATGAGAAGATCATGCGCTTTCCGTCCGACGAACTTTACGATTCGAAACTTGTGGCTGCAGATTTTGTCAAGGCGCGACTACTCAAGGACCTGAAGTACGAGGTGCAAGAGACAGAAGACACTACGGAGCCGCTCGTCTTCTGGGATACCCAAGGTGGAGATTTTCCCGAAAAGGTCGAAGACGAAGGCGTGATTGGGAAAGGTGGCAAAGGTATGAGTCTTGGCGATAGCAAGTCTAACGAGGCCGAGGCGGCACTGGTTCGAATGCACGTCAGAAATCTGGTGGGTGCCGGCGTAAAGCCCGAGGATATTGCAGTTGTTACGCCATACAATGCGCAGGTAGGTATCGTTCGTCCGTCCGCTTTCCCCCTTGTAGCGATTTGTTGCAGACGGGAAAAAGTGCCACCGACTCCACAATTGCTCGGGCACCATAGGCAGGGACAAGCAGGAATAGTCAAGTGGATGCTGACGTGACTAGCTCGCATTGCTTGGTGGAATGCTCAAAGAAGAGTATCCTAGCATGGAGCTGGGATCCGTTGACGGGTTTCAAGGCAGAGAGAAAGAAGCTGTCATTGTCAGCACGGTGCGGAGCAATGCAGAGCATGAAGTTGGCTTCCTGGGCGAAAAGAGACGACTCAACGGTAAGTCAAGACTCGTATTGCAACAATGTCAGGCCATGTTTTTAATATGGCACGCATGAAGAATGGCAGCTGCAGAAGGCCTCTGTGGTGATGATGTGCTAATGAGGATTACCGGATTAGTGGCCATGACACGCCCAAAGCGGCATCTCTGTGTGATTGGAGATTCGGAGACAATGAGCAAGTAAGTGCGCACATGTGGATTGCCGAATCCATGACCCCGGCAGCCCACTTTCTTCCAGTTTGTCCTTTGCGGCCTCGTCATCCAACGTCTTTTTGAGGGTCCTGAAACCTGAGGCTGTGTGCATGCGCTGCGTCCCGAGTGCGAAATGCAGCGGCAGTCCGAGCGGGTCCCCCCAAAAGATGAAACTGCCGTGATACACGCTCCCCTGTGTTGTCACAAGCAGCATATCCACCCACCCGTCCCTTGCCCTGTCATGGATTACATCCCAGGCCGTCGGAACACGATTTTGATGCTCCAAGGGTGCGGATGACAGTTTGGTCGTCGTCATTGTACAAAAGCGAGTTTCAAAAGGGAACATGAGTTTGCTAACCTGTATTTACTTTATGTGCAGGGGTTCAAAGTTCCTCAAAGCGTGGATGCAGCATCTGGAAGATCACGCTGATCTTAGGTACGCCAATGTGACGGAGGTATACGGCGATTAAGTGTAGGTAATATCACAAACGGGACGACGGGGAGATAAGTGCTCTCGGTCAGCAACCAAAAAAAAGGGCTGTAACATGGCTGTTGCCGTTGTGAGAGATATTTCCGGTGATGAATTATTCCGGATCGACAGGCGAGCAAGACGGCATCACAAACAAACGCTGTTAGAAAAGTGTGCGGTTATCGTGAAAGGGTAGTGCGTGTGGGACAGAGTAGGTGGTGGGGGTGGGGAAGAAAGGGCCAGACATGGGGGGGTTCGTGTGGGTTATTATTGGCTAGGGGGGCCCAAGCGCTGTGGCGGCCACGACTCTTGGTATAGTTTGGTTCAGCGGTGGTACCGAAGCCACTACAGGCGATTGTGCGGTAGGCCCATGACTCTAGCTGCAGTAGTTCAGCGTCAAAAAAAGGCGAAGGAAGGCTGAGGAGTGCGCAGAGAGGAACACCAAGCTGGACAATACGAACCCCACTGCAGTGAGACGGCACCAATTGCTCTCTATATGAGGTACAGTAAGTATGTATGTGTACTTAGGCTGCGCGCTTATAGTGTGGGAACCGTCGGCACTCTCGGCATAGGTATGGGTAAGTAAGTAAGTAGAAAGACGGCGGACAGGGATCGTATGTTGCAAGCACAGGCCCCCCCGCCCGGGGGAACGCTGAGACGAGAGAAGAAGGGGGGGAAAAAAGAAAAGAGAAAAAAAGAGAGCAAATCGAGACAAACGCGTGTGGAAAGAATACGAGTAATGTTGCTTCTCGGTGACGCCGCCACCGAACTCTCCGTATATGCCGGAAAAGGCGTGTGATGAGCGGGTTCGAAAGGGTTTCCGCAGGCCAAGGGTTGTAGCGAGTCGTGAAAATCAATAGAATCCAATACAATGGCGCAGCGCGGCTAAGACCGAAGAGAAAAAAAAAACCCCCCCAAGACAAAAGCCCGCGGGCAAAATGCAATGAGAGAGAGAGAAGCGAACGAGGTACGAGACGAAGAGGGGGGGACAAGAAGAGAGTTCAAGTCAACGGCTGCGCCAGGGCTCTGCCACGTTGCAAGGTCTTCCTCTCCCCCCCTCTCCCTTCAGGGCAGGCAAGTAGAAGAGAAGGATTAGAGTGGCTAATGCAATGATGCGAGGCGCGATCATAAAGTCTGTCTTGTTTTGTTGCTGAGGCTTAACTGCTGGAGCTTCTTTACATGGGCGCCAAGGATGCAGTAGAGCAGGTTGTACCAAACAAAGTCACGATAGACGGTAAGTAACGTATGGGCCTTTGCGTGCTTGCAGGCTTGCGGCGGGCGGGGGTGTGCGTGTGTGTGTGTGTGCGTGTGGGTGGGTGGGTTCGTACACTTTACGCTCTTGTTGCGCCAAAGAAGAAGCGGTTCGCGGGTCCCAAAGTGTCAGCGTGTTCGTTTGGGTGGGCTCAGATGGGGTTTAGCGCTGTACCCCTTCTCAAACACGTTAATGCACATGTGGGAAAGACCAGGGAGGGTTGAAGGTGTGAAGGGATATGGAGCGTTGGGGGTTTTTTTTTCGGAGTTTAGAGGAGCGAGGAAGTGTGGCCGATGGGGGGTTCTGAATGTCTTGATTGAGGACGCGGGACATGGACAGGCGAGTCGGGGGCGGGTTTGAAGCGTGAGGGTAGATGGTGAGGGAGTTTGTTGGCGAAGGGGTGTGGGTCGGGAGGAGAAAGTAGGTACATGGAGAGTATGCACCTAGAGAGTGGCCAGCGCTTGTTCTTGTGTTCTGGCTTTGTTCGGGAAACGGGGGGGGGTAAAGTAATAGTCGGGTGTAAGTTGGTGGTAGTGGTAAGTATGGGAGTAAAGTAGTGGGTATTTGGTGTAGTTGCGGGGTTTGGCGCGTACAGGCAGACAGGCAAGGCCAGACAGAGGGCAACGAGCGAAGACGTGTGGTCGATGGGTGGCCGGGATGTTGGTGCAGACGCAGTGCAAGGAACAGGGTGGAGAGAGAGAGGAATGAATGGATGCCCCCCCAAGGCCGACGTTTCAGATGGACAGCGGCAGAGGGCAGAGCGGGCGCGTGCATGGCACCGGATTTATCGATTGCAGGCTCGCCTGGTCGGAGGTGCAGGTGGCATACACGAACCATGGCCAGACAGGCGCAACAACGACCATGCAGGCCTGTGTCGAGTGCATGTGTTGGCGACCAGCTGTCTTGTCTTGCCATGCTTCCATGCTCCATGCTTCCATGCCGCTCACAGAGTAAGTAGCCACCGTCAACGCCCCGTTAATTGGCCTATGCCTGCTTTGCCGGCCATACTGCTTGATTCGCAACGACGCCATTTCCTTAATAGCCTTCCAGCCTGCCCGCACCCGCCATGCCCGCCATGCCCGCCCTCCGACAAACCCTCCCCACTCTACACAACACACCCTGGTCCGAGTAGGTCCACCACCGTCGCTCTCTTTGATACATAGGCCCTCCACGCGCCCCTCCCATCCCGACCCCGTCATCCTCTTTTGCCCTCCTCCAAGCCTCGAAACCCGGCCCTCGGTGGCTCGATACGCCCCATTGCTCGCTTGCTTGTCTGCTTGCTTGCCTGCCTGCCTGCCTACCTACCTGCTTGCTTGCCTGGCCTGCCTGCTTGTTTCGTTTAACCTCGTCGCTCCTTCCATCTATCCACCCACCCACCCATACATACATACCCTCGGCTTGGCCTTCCTTCACCCTCGCCCATCCCTCTTCTTTAATTCCTCCGGCCACCTTTATTTTGGTTCCTATTTGCTTTTTCTGCTTTTCATTCCCACCCCCCGAGGAACAAACCCACAAATTCCTTCTGCCGCGCTTGCCCCTTCCACAACCCTTCTCGAATGCACATCACCTTGCATATTTGGTGATGGTTGCTGGAAGAGCCACTACTTGAACTGAGGCACCCCTGTCGCAGTTGTCCAGACTGCAATTTCCAGAGGCGGTCCGCCCGACGTCCACCCCACTCGACGATTGCTCATCCACAATCGCCGCCCCATCCACATGCTCCAGCGAGAAGGCTTCGTCGTCGCCGATATGAGTCCTTCGGCACCCTCGCCTGCGCTGTTGCGCCGGGCCAGCTGGAAGGCTGAAGCGATCCGAAAAGGCAACTTGAAGATCAGCGGTCCAATCCCCATCACCGAGGATATGCCGCTTAATGACGAGGAAGAGAAGAGATTTGCTGAAAACGGGACCTTGAGTGACCCTCCGCAACTGCCAGTCGCTCCGCTGGAAGAGCAGCGCCAACGGTCGGCGACTCCCCCAAGACCGGCGCATCCTGCCCCGGCTGTTCCAGACCATCCAATGCCATTGCGATCAAATCTCGTTGCAGACCAGCCGCAGCAAGAGGAGGAACCGCGCGACCATGCTCCGTTACGATCGCCGCGCAATCTGCAACCCATTAGCATTGTCCAGCGCGATAGCATGGTCCCATCCAGCATAGCCCCGTCTCCATCGCCTTTCCGGTCAACGCCCGAAAGTGCAGCAGCAAAGGCGACGCAAAGAAAGCGCAAGAGTGGACTCAGGAATGTCTTTCGCAAAATGTTCGGTAAAAAGACGGCCGAACCAGAGCATCAGCAGCAACAGGATGAGACCACCCGCCGTGGTCATAGCTATCATAATAGCGTAAGTAATCTGTGCAATACGCGACACCTTATTTCTAACACGATATAGGATCCGGGCTTGCTAAGATCGACACCACCAATAGAACAACGGCCAACACCGTCACCAGTTGGACCGCGGATATCTGATTTGCCCGTCAAGGAGCTGGAGCCATTGCACCCCTTGGGCCAGCACCTGCCGTACCCAATGAACGTGAATGCGCCGCCAGCAAGTCCACCGGATGAGTATCTCACTTTTGATGTCAATCGGCCGGAGCGCCGAAGAGCTACGCTTCCCAATGTGCCAGGCCTGGTAGTCCAGCGTCACAGCCTGGACGAGTCGCGACCAAAGCTGGCGCCTTGGCAAGAGCGAATCGAGGACGGCAACATGTCTCCTTCTCGAATTGGTATTGCACTGTCCAGTCCCTCGCACGGCACGTCGAGACCCAACAAGCGGAGGTCACGCAGTGCAGATGCTCTTCGTGACATGGCCAAGGACCTTGCTTCGACCGAGAGGAGACGCAGCGCCGAAATCAAGTACTGGCGGGAGAGCAACATGTCTGGCAGTGTTTACAGTCGGCCGGCAACAGCAAAGACGGTGGAGACGTTCCGCAGCGTACAGATGCAGGAGCCAATGATCCGGGAGCCAGAGGCGGAATCATACAACGAAATGAGCGCCACGCTTGTGCAAGCGGATGATCCGCAAACACCCACGTCAGCAGGGCTTGACCGGTCAAAAGAGGACGAAAAGGAAGGAGACGTCTACGCGACCGTTTCTGATTTCAATTTCGGTAATTTGAAGAACGGCCGAGAGTCCGGGCCGGTGCCGGCAGAACCACAGCCAGAACCGGCACGACATGTCGAACCTGTCTCTCAAGCCGGTGGCCAAGAAATCTCACCGGTAGCACCTCTTCCGGCGCCAAATCCGAATCGACTATCAATGGAAGAGCGGCTCATGCATCTTGAAAACCAATACTCCAATCTCGAAACACTAACTCGCCGCCTTTCATCCCGAAACAATAGACAGACTATTATACTTGAAAACGCACCCCGGAGCCTTCGCTCAAGAGACCGAAGCACTTCCGTCTCTGCCTCACGCTCTCACTCACGCTCTGCGCCAAGCATCCACCAAGAGCCTTCTCATCTTCGTCATCAGAGCACCAGCAGCGAGTACGTAGAAGAGCCTGTGCATGCGCCGAGCTCTCCTACCTCAACTCTCCCAGTCGCTAGTAGCAATGAGCAAGCCAAGGCGCTGAAAGACATGCGTGCAGTGTTGGAAGTTGAGCGCAACGCGCGAATCGCACTCGAGCACCGTGTCCACGCACTTCAGATTGAAGTATCAAACCTGCAAGCTCTAGTAAACAAGCTCGTCGCCGGCAGTGGGGCGACATACCCCACGCCTTCGCCAGACATGCTCATTATGACTTCTGAAGATAAGCAGCGCGTGAGCTGTTCTACACCACGCGCCATGGCACACAACCAGAGTACCTACTACTCCCAGCACCAGCGACCACACGACTGGAGACATGACTCTGAGAGCATGTACTCTGATGACTTGGTCCTTGAGTCTTCTGGCACAGGAGAGGCCGCATCGCCTGATGAGTGGGCAACGCCCAAGGAAGAAGGATTCTCCAATAGTGTCTTCTTCCATACTCGTGACGATGGCATGAAAGAGTACTCATGAGCTGTTGTTTCGTTTCGTTTCTTTTTTTTCCCTTCGCTTCTTCTTTTCTTTGACCCATTTTCCTTTTCTTGTTTGTTCTTTTGACAAGCGATTGCATAAATGCGAGATTGCAGTTTGGATGGTGATAAAAATCATGTTTTCGACTAAGATACCCCCACCGCAAGCATTTACACTGGCGGACGCGCACTGCACTGCGCGTGCTTTCTTTTCTATGTTATAGTTTTTTTTGAGCAGCTTGATTGAAGGAGAGTTTTGTTTGAAGTTTGTTGTTGCATCTTGATGATTTTGCTTGGATGTCTTGTTGGGAATGTTGTGTGTGCGTGTGCGTGTGTGTTTGATGATTGAGGTTCGAATCGGTGATGCCTATGCATTACGTGGTAATTAATTGGTCCTTTAGTTATGGGACATTTTAGAACTAGAGGATTAGGGAAATGGATACTTTATACGTTATACGGATTGCAGAAGATGACAAGTAGTGACTTTTTGTAATGAGTAGAATGATTGGCTTGTAAAGCAAGCATGCCGCATTGGCAAAGTTCCGTTCGGCGTGGGCGGCTGCTTTACTTTGTGGTTCTTACTTGTAACTTTTCATCATCTCACATCACGTGAGCCCAGCAACTCAACCATCTTCTTTAAAAGCAAAAATTTCATACACATTAGTCATTAGTTATCTTACAATTCTCGCTCGTACGCTTGCAAAATCAAACAAAGGAAAAAAAAAGTCCTAGATCGGCCAATTTGACACCCTAATCGTCCACTCCTCTCCTCCCGTTTCCCATCTCTCACCAACTTTAAACACTAACATGCGGCACATACGCCGGCTCCCTCCTCTCAACCCCGTTGGAATCCACAAACGTCGACCTACCCTCACCAGTCGGAGTTCCGTTTACATTGTTAGAAATGTAATGTCTATCCGCCATGACACTATCCCTATTTCCCGCAACACTCTCACTGTACCTCACCTCCTTACCCACATACTGCACCTCATCTTTGCGTCCAAAGCTCTTTGCACCGAGTAGGAGTAGGGCAAGGATAGCGAGATCGCAGAGCTGACCGAAGATAATAAAGAGGAAAGCCAGCGCCTCCATAGTGCGACGCGACCATCTCCGCGAGTCGCGATAGAGAATAATAAGTTGAGCAATAGAAAAAGCATTGCGGAACCAAACCAACGGCGTAACAAGCATCACAACCCGCGTAAGTGGTGATTGAAACTTATTCTGTTTCCCCATTAGCATCTCGTCTTCCTTGCACAAATAAAAGGTAAGCAAGAACTTACACCAGGAACCCCATGCTTCCTAATCCCCACCCAGCACAAAATCGCCTCAAGCGTCACACTCGTCGACGCAGCAATGACAACAGACACGTACGTAACATACAACGTGCGAACCACATAATCGGCCCCGATGAGCGTAGGATACGGCAACGCAGCCTTCCCACTGCCCCTCCGCCACAACCCCAACGACCAACTCGCGAGCCCCAATGCCAAAATCGCCAGCAGCCAAAAGCCATTCAGCAGCATGCTCGCGAAGCCTGGTTCGCGCAGCTGCGAGGCGTTGCTGTGGACGTGGTTGGCGTAGATCCAGATTGCGCCGATGATGCTGGCGTTGAGGAGGATGGTGGCGAGTTGGTAGAGGAAGGAAAGGATGGAGATGGCGCGCGTGTAGCGCGTGTCTGGCACGGTGGTTGGGGTGCCTGGGTAGTGCGGGTAGGCGTAGGCGGAGGTGATGTAGGAGGGGGAGGTGGAGGGGCGGGATTGAAGGGCTACGGTTGCGGATTGTGCGGCGTAGGCGAGGCTGAGACAGAAGAGGCCGGTTAGGACGAAGAGGTGGGTGCTGGTGGCACTGGGGGGAGAGAGTAGTGTTAGTATAGGGGGTATGTGGGGATGGGGTTGGATGGGGGAGGGAGGAGGAGGAGGAGGAGGGGAATTACCTGTGTCTCTTGCCGGTGGACTGCCATACTTTCATCGTCCGTGGTTGGCCCCGTCCACGGGTCATCTGCTTAGCGAAGAGTGCGAGACCAGCGAGGAAGAGTAGAAAGGAAACGCAAGCTGTGATGACATGGAGGGAGAAGATGCCCTTGACGGCACTCGACGCATTCGTTATACCCATCTTTGTCCCAACACGATTCAATCAAAGTAACCAGTGTCGGCGTTAGTAGTTATTTAAAAAAAAAAGAGTCAACGTCTCAGTATATATATATCAAAAAGTCGTGTCTCTTGTCTTTTTAAACTGAGATATAACAAGTTCAAGATAAACGACTTCCCCCCCCCCCTTCCCTCTTGTATACCACGACCACCCCAAACTATGCCGTCACACACTCGACTTTCCAGCCTAGTTACCATCATGACGAACCGCGCCCCTTCAACAAAGTGACGTCCCTTAGCCAGAACAAAAGACGTGTGCCATGGAACCTCCACATCTGCAAGCCCGCCGCGGCCGCCGCCAACTTCCCCCCGTTAGCCACACACGACAACCCACCTTTGCCCAGCCCACCTTAACCACCTTACCTACGCCGGCGCAACATGGGGGCCAGCAAATAAGCCACGCCCGGCGCCACTTTCCATGGCATATGTCTTGAGGCTGTTCGCTTTTTTTTTGTTGTTGCTGGATCAAGTGACGTTGAGCGTGGCCGGCCGTGTTGCACGGAGCCCAGCGGGATGACGTCGACTATTCTTCGACGCCAACGAGAAAAAAGTAATGACAACGACTGACCGACCAACTATCCAACTACTAATTACTTCCTTGCATATCGTCGGGAGTGAAGCGGGCGGAGATTGAACCGGTGGTCTTGGAAAGCGAAGATCTAAGCGTGAAAGAAAGCGGTGGTGCTTGGTGCATCGGGTGGTTTGTCAGGGATTGAAGAGGGAGATCGGCGCTAGGATTTGAGATCTGAGGGCGCTGATCGGGGTGCAGCGGGGGGACTAGGGAGGGATCGACGGGGCTGGGCGATGAGGAAGATAGGCTGCAAGGTATGTAAAAAGTGCGTGCGTAGGGGTATATGACTTGGAAGTAGACTTTTCCTTGCAGTGATCATTTCTGGTTTGAGAAGGAAGAGGGGATTTGTCATTCAATTCAATTCGGTGCATAAGCAACAACGCCAACTTTCGAATCGATCAATTAATCGCTCTTGCCTACCCCGACGACTCGTCCACTTCCTCTTAGACCGAGTTCTTCGGGGCTTAGGAAGCGGCGTGCGGCTTCGACGTCCTTGGCTCTTCCACCGCTGCTACTACTACTCTTATTCTTCTTGCCGTGCTGTGCGATTTCGTAGTCATTCTCATTCCACCAGCCGCAACCAAAGATGACGAAGAGACAGATTAGGACAAACAGGGCGATGACTGCGAATACAAAGACGAAGAGTGCCCAGACGCCTGAGCTGATGTAGTTGACAAAGGACTCGGAGGCTGAGTTGACGATGTGTGTCGCTGTGCCCTTTTTACCATTGGCATCCCAATCATGGAACCACATTGAGACTTTTCGCGGGCCTTTGGCGCCTCTAGTCCGCGGGGGTGGTCTTTCAATCAAGTGGACCTTGACAATCTCGTAGGCGCCAGCTGGATCACCTGGAGAAAGCAATGGTCGCTGCATCAACACCAGCTCAACGATCTTCTGCTCTTTCCTGTCCAAAAAGACGGTTAGAGGGGGCGAGGTAAGATCGGTCCATAATTCCATGATGTCGAATTGGAAAAGTAGGGCTTTGGGCTCATCCTTGACACGGGCCAGCGTGTACGAATAAGATACGCCAAAGTAGCTGCCGCCGAGATTGTCGAGCTGGTTTGAGGAAATGAGCGTGGCCACGTCATCAGTGGATATGTCTTCCAGCACTTGATTGGCGTAGATGCGCGGGAGAATCTTGTTGTTTGTTAATAGTGCGGCGTTGTTGATGTTTAGTTGGGCTGAGTCGTAGGGCAGGGATATATTCAAGAGCTGTGAAAATCATCAGCATATTTATTTAGAAAATCAAAATGTGGTGATGACGGTACCAGAGCATTTGCATCTTTTCTTTGCGTCCATGGTGCATCATTGCCTTTCGATGTGTCTTGGTACAAGAATGGACACTCCACGCAAGGAACCTTGGCGATTACGTTGTAGCCTTCGGCCACAGTCGTAATTTCCGGCACGACTTCTGCGTTGGCAAATGTAAAGTATGCGATGGCCGAGGCCAATGATGCTATTCGTAATTTCATGTTTGCAGGTGCGAATAGCAAGGCAGGAAAATAGACTATCTTGACACGTTGGTGGTGGTGTGGCGCGTAAGTCAGCTGCGGCGGGTGGGGGCGGCATCAGTTATGTATCATGTGAAGCCGCGACTTAGCGTGTTTGGGATACAAGGTGCTTTACTCTATTTTACTTTTTGGGGAAATATTGTGGGCAGACCGCAATGAAATTTTCCAGAACGCCCTATCTACATCAAAATCATCAAAATCAATTCTCTCTTCAATTTTCGTGATGTTGCCAAATTTTTCGTCGCGCCGTTGAAATCCCACAAGTTTACCTCTCTAATCATACCGTCATGAAATCAACCATTAAAATATGAAAACATGCCAGGAACTCCCTTGCGATGCAACCAATATTAGTGTTTGCCATGAATGGTTCTAGATTTCGTCATTCACCATCTCCGACTTATTCATCTCTACCCTCTCTGACCCCATGCTGACTCATCAACATTGCCATGATCTCGTTATCGTCGCAACCATTGGATAGATCGGAATATGCTTCGTTGGGTGTATTTGCTGCTGTGATTTCTTCATCTTTCAACTCTTCATTCATACTGTTTGACTCTTCTTCACACTCCATCGTCCCAGTCAAGACCTCCCGTATCGTTTTGCAACTCCGAAGCGCCTCAACACCTCCGCTCCTGCCCAAGTGTTCTTCGATATCAACCAGCTTCTTCAACATACGCTCTCGGTTTGATACAAAAGCGTGTGGTTGAAGCCTAGGATCAATACTTCCGTGGTTGGTGACGGCAAGGGCTCCGATTTCGATAATCTGCTGGCTTCTCGCAAGTTCTTCGGGGCGCGACATTTGCCGAAAGACAAGACCCTCCGGAAATGAAGGAAAAAATGGATTGTTGTTTTCTATGCTGTGGTTCTGATGAGTGGTGTTGGTGTCGCAGTCGGTGTCCTCTCCTGCGTTCAAGGGTGTTCCAATCGGGGTTGGCAACATACCGCCTACCAATGGGCTAGACTGCAGCGAGTATGGCATGCTCGTAGGCTTCATCGGCCTGCCTCGAGCTGGGGGGCTTTGGCATGAACCTCTTCCATAGTGCGAGTGCTGATCTCTCCCTCGGAGTTCCTCTGGTATAGTTCTGGAACGTGGTGCTTGGAGACGGATGAAGGTCGGATTTGGTATACTTGCAGCTACGACTCGGTCCATGTCTCCATGACTGAGTGATCGTCGGCGACTGCCAGGCTGCCCAAACTGTGTTGAATAGAGATGGGCATTGTTTGTCTGTGATCTGACGGGAAAAGGCCTCGAATTGAAGACGGACAGAGGTATACCCGCTTCGTAAGATTGAAAAGTTTCGAATGGGTAAGGATGTGGTTTGTCCGGTTCTGGAGTCGGATACGTTAATGAGTGCCGATTAGAGCCGCGATTTGAGGGCTCAGGTGTCGATATGATGGAAGAGCTTGATGAGTCGACAGATACTAGTGAGATATCTCCGTATGCGAAATCAGTGCCGTCAAACACTTCGCTATTGTTCGACGAGAAGATGGCTCCATCCGAACCACCGGGGCCAAATAATTCCTCGAAGTCGGCCTGTGAGAATTGATCCTGATCTGAAGACGAAAGAAACGGATCTTCAGTGGCTCCATCGAATGGCGTACTTGGCCGAGACATTATGCTGTATACTAATTTATCACAATAGCCTCGGAGCGGTCGAGAGAGCGTATGATCGATTGTGGCACAGAGCTCTATAATTGCGGGAAGGATGTTGCACAGAATATGGAAAGCCGCGTGATCGACGTCCAGATATAGTCGTCAAGCTGTTTATGGGCTGGTCTGGGCTGAGACATATAGCTAAAGAGAGCTTGGTAGACTTGTTGACCGCACTGCGGTGAGCGAATCAGCGAATAGCTGCTTGGTGCATGGCTCAGGGCAAACACCTTTGAGCTGTGGACCAGCCAGTGCTTGGGTATTTTAGAGCATTGTTTGTGCAGCACGCTGAGTTTAAACATTTCATCGTGTACATGTCGATCTTCTTTGCCGTACGTGTCATGCTGTGATACAGTTGGTCTGAGTCAACTCCATTGCAAGTGCACAGATCCTTCTAAAAGCCATGTTTGTTCACCTCGTTTTTGAGTCTTGATCTCAGAAGTGTTTCATTATTGCTGCCGATACGGCGAATCATGGATTCGTGGAATCTGTCGCCTTGTAACGGTACCCAGCATGTCTTTCCCTGTAGCAATACCAAATACTCATACACGAGATGGCTTGCCTTCCTCAGCGGTGGAAGCTGGTGCGCCGCTCATCATAATTTACACGGTATAATATACATGCAAGAACTCGCAAAAAGTGAGTGACCATATTCACTCCTTCTTACTCTCATTATCTTTGCCCTTCTTCTTGTCCCAGTTCCACACATCCCAAATCTGTTCCATGATCAAATCTCCATAACCCTTGCCTTCTTCAAGCGCCTTCCTCTCTTCCTCTAGACGCTTTTCCTTCCATCCCTCGTCTTCATCTCCCATCCACAATTTCCCTAGTACGCCCTTTTGCTGTCCCTCCTTTCTCTCGAGCGCCTTCCTACCCTTTTCTCTCTCCTCTTGCAGTATTCTCTGTGTCTCTCGCGCTCGGTCTGTGGGAAGTTCCATTGCGCGCATGGGAGAAAGGTTCTGTACGAGGCCGCGGCCGGTGCGAAGGGTGATTAGATGGTCGGCGGACAAGTAGAACCCGATTCCTAGCGAGAAAGTATAAAGGTCCAGTTTTCGCGGTGGGAGCAATGCAATTATCGGGCACACCACGAGCCCCCCAATCGCCAGGTTTCGTACTATACGTTCATAGCGTTGTTGTTGTTCTAGGGCTAGGCGTTGTTCCGGTGGGATGGGCACGTTTTGTATGGGATTCGGGGTCGCCATGGGCGGTGTGGGCGCTGCCTGCAGAACCGGAGCGCAAGACGAGAAATTTGTAGTAAAGTGTTTATTTAATGTTTGGTCTGTTTACAGGGTTTCTAGGGTAGTGTGGCGGGGAGTTTTGTGAATGTCAGGTCGAAAAGTTCAATGATGCAAAGACCGAGCGGTTAGCTTCCGCTCGGCTGCAGCTTCCCCACTAGAGCGGAAGGGCTGCGGAGAGCGTATGTACAGTACAAACCAGTTCGCGATATCCAAAAAGCGATACGATCCGCTGTCTCACAACGGCCGATTTTTTATCCAAAATAAGTGACGCTGAGGCACTTTAGATCTGAGACCATAATTGCCTGGCGCAAATTCACGACGCTGCCAGCGCACCGGCAGAGCTCGTACTGTGCTGCCAAGGTCTTGCACCCTTTTGCCAAAGAGACGACGCATAATCATCTGAATTTTCGTCTTTTTACGTCGGTTCTGTCGTCAAATCGCTCCGTGTCATACCTCACAGGCCCATCGTCTTTCCTGTCTCCTGCATGCTCAAACACCCCACTACTCCTCAGCCGTTTTGTCGGTGTTTTCTCGTATTCGCCTCCACTTTGCTGGTTCTTCACGCCTTCCTCCTCTGTCCCGGCCGGCCCGCCTGAGCTGGGCGCATCCTCGTATTCATCGTACTTTCGCTTCTGTGCCGTGCTAGGAGTCTGCATCAAGCGCCGTAAACGGCTCTCCTGTAGCCGCCTATTGACCTCTTCTGTAACATCGACGTGCTGAACTAGGTGGGTTCCTTCTGCCTGCGCTGTTTTTGCGCGTGGTGTAGGTGATTGGCCGGGGAGAGGGGATATGGCATGCGAATTTGATGCGTGAGACTGGGCGTTGGGCGTCGGCGAAGCATACTTTGCGCCTTCAAGACTCAGTCGCTTGTTTGAAGTCTTGACCTGCTGCAGTGTAAGGAATCACCGCAAGCGTAGGTGACGCGCATACGTACCTTCTTCTCTGCCAATCCCTCGCTTTCAAGCTGGTCTCTGAACCTCTTCATGTCGTCATGCAGTCTACCCGATTTGTTTCGCAACGATATAAGATCCGTCGCCAGCCAGTCGGGGGCATTGTGATCTGTCGCCTCAAGAGTCTCGTTGAGAAACAGCAGCTGGGCGCGTAGGCTGCTGATATGTTGGTCAAAATCCTAGCAAGTGAATAAGTTGTTTGTCAATTTAGGTGGCCGAGTGAATTACATCTAGCGATAGTCTGGCCATGTTGTGTGAGGAGGCTAGTGTGGAGGGCAAGGAAGGTCGCGTGCAGGAGACTTTGAGATTGCGGACTCCCGAACTGCAGGCGGCTCAAGCTATACCCCTGTTTAGCAATGTTCCGACCTACTTCCGATCGGAACCTGCATCTTTTTCTTACAGTTGTGTAACACGAGGTCTCGGTGCGTTTGCCTAACACCAAAGTCTGGCAGATGAACCAATGTATTTCAACATTATCCAAGCCTTTTTCAAAATTGAGCTAGTTGTTGTACCAGAAACAAAGGAGAAACAGTAGCAAATACCAGCACTAGTCGAACAAAGCCAATGCATGCAGTGTCGGCTCGCAACAAACACAACCTTCATGTCCTTGCCTCATCATCTGGTAGCTTTATCTCCTGTAAATCCCAAATCCAAGGGACTGGAGGAGCCAGGCTATGTCCGTGCTGTATGATGTGGGTGGCTTAGCATTGACGCCGTTGATCGGACTAACAGACCATGTAGCCCATGGGCAACCGAAGTAGCATTTCCCATTCGGGCATTCTAACCGGAGGATCAAGGTAGAAGTGAGGCCTCTTGCTGAGAACATGCCTGACACCAAGCAAGATTACGTGTCTGTGAAGATGATGTAGATTCTGACGCTTCTCATCCCTCATCTTCGTCTCCAAAGGTAAGCTTGACTGCTTTGGCTTTCTTTTTTGGCTTCTTGGCTGGTTTGATGGTGGGTTTTTCGGCATCCGTTTCTACTTCGCTCCTATTATCGCCTTGATCATCGCCAATAATCTTCGCGGCCTTGCGCTTCTTTGTATTTGCACCAACTTCAGCAATTTTGTCTTTGGGTTTCGACTCATCTTGCTTGGTTGCCTTTTGCTCGGCTTCATCTGCTACCAGGTCTTCTTCGCCCTTGCTATCCTTGCCAGAGACGAGTGCATCATACTCCTCTTTGCTCAACGACTGGTTAGTATCTTCTAAGACGTACGTTGGCGCATCATCTTCATCATCGTCTTTGTTCATCCTCTTATTTCTGGCAATGGGATGTTCATGACGAGCAGTATCCCCACTTTGAAGTTGCCCACGCAGCCGCTGCAAGAAGGCTGGCTGAGAGCTGTCTGCGCTAATCAGTACCGTTTCCACTCTTCTGCTGGCGCACTCACCAAAGTGCAGGTCCTTGGCCTTGAAGCTCATGATGAGGCCGGTGGTGCAAGGGCTGGTGATGCAGGAATCTATGCCGAAGATTGGATGGGATTGCAGGGCTGGGGTGATGTTGTATCTGTCTGTCGCTTACGTAGTAGTGGCAGTCTCCCGTGCGTCCCTTTCAGACAGTCTCGTGCGTGTCCCTGAACCAGAGATTGAGCGGATTTTCTGCGACTCCTTTATTGATAGGCTGTTCAGGGTACAGGTATGGAGGCTGTGTGTCGGGCCTAGTGCGTGAAAGATCCAGCCCTCATAGCTGCAGTCTCCTGCATTGGCCAGCTGCATCTATCTGTCTGCACCTATCGAGCTGCGCTCTACCTACGTTAGTGAGCTTGGCGCGTCTCCACCGATATGTTCCCTGTCAATTAGCACTTCTCGAAACGCATACGCAATCGCCGACCGTTAATAATTTACACTCGACAACCCCGGTTTCCCCTTTCGACACTCACCCCCGACCTCTCGACTCACAGAGTGTCGCGCAAAGTCCAGATTCCCATTGATGGTCGCATACCGATTCGGAACTGCCACCCAACGACGCTTACACTCCTCACTCGCCCCAAACCCGGCCGTATCAGAACACATATCTGGCCGCCTACGACTGGCATTACCTAGCAAAGAACTGCCACTGGCAGTAACGTCTTTCAACAAGGCCGCCATCACAGCGTCGCAACCATGGGCCTCCTGCAGGACATGACGCAGAGGCTGCCAACGACAAAAGAGAGCCTGGACAGATTCGACGACCTCTCGCGCCGTGCTGAAAAGACGACTCCTCGATTGTCCTTCTTCCGCCGCCGGGTACGACTGAAGGGGTCTTCGTCCGTTTCCATTCCACTGGGCCTGGTGCTCCTCTTTCCATGTCTTGTAATAATCATAATCATAATTCTTTTTGTGAGGTCGCCAGACTCTCAGGGTATTATGAACATGCCTGCGGGCACCCCGCCGTCAATAAGGTATCATCGCCCTTATCGCAGTAGCATGCAACAGACGACTAACAATTCACAGAAAGATCAGCGAAAAATATGACAAGCCCTTCGCTGTAGGCTGTCTCGAGCCCCAGGTCAACGGACCCCGAGCAAACGCTGCCTTCGTAGTGCTAGCAAGAAACAAGGAGCTAGACGGCGTCATACAGTCGATCAAATCCATCGAGAGACATTTCAATCGGTGGTTCCACTACCCATACGTCTTCCTCAATGACGGCGACTTCAACGAGACATTCAGGGAGGTGGTCTTGAAGCACGTTAGTGCTCCGGTCGAGTGGGGCAAGATAACGCCAGAGCAGTGGGGCTTCCCAGACTGGGTCGACCCTGATGTTGCTAAGGAGGGCATCGCAAAGCAGGGAGACAATGCCATCATGTACGGTGGTATGGAGAGCTACCATCACATGTGTCGGTTCTACTCAGGGTACGTTTAAGAAAACACTGCAAGTTGGGGCTGGACTAACTTTCCATAGTAAATTCTACCAGCACGAATTACTTGCCAAATACGACTGGTACTGGCGTCTCGAACCGGAGATTAAGTACTTCTGCGATATCACATACGACCCTTTCATCCACATGATTCGGAACAAGAAGACGTACGGCTTTACAATTGCTGTGAAAGAGTTGAGGGAGACGGTGCCCAACATCTGGAGATATGCATCGGCATATAAACGAAACAACAACCTTACTTCCAAGGGCATGTGGGAAATGTTCGTCGAGAAGCCTAAACCTGAGGACGAGAATGCACAAAAGAATGAGCCCAAACCGAAGAAGAACTTCTTCCCACAAGATATCATGGACTCGGAATTCGGCTCAGACGCGTTGCCTGAGATCCACCCCGAAAACATGGAGGGCGAATCGTACAACATGTGCCATTTCTGGAGCAACTTTGAGATTGCCAACCTGAACTGGTTCCGTAGCCAGGAGTACAACGATTTCTTCGAATTGATGGATCGCAGCGGTGGTTTCTGGATGGAGAGATGGGGAGACGCGCCCATCCACTCGTTAGCTGTGGGAGCACTGCTTGGCCCCGAAGACATTCACTACTTCCGCGACTTTGGGTACCGGCACACTACTATTCAGCATTGTCCGGCCAATGCCCCTGCACGACAGCTGCCTAGAGACCCCTACCTGGAGCTGACGACCGAGAACGAGAAAGAGCGAATTGAGGAAGACAAGTATTGGGCGACGCCAGACCCTGTCAAAGAAAACGGCGTCGGGTGCCGTTGTAAGTGTGACACGGATATCGTCGAGGTGGAAGGCAAAGAAGGGTCTTGCTTCCCTGAGTGGGTCGAGGTGGCGGGCGGTTGGGCTTCGCCCTAGGCACCAGAACCGTGGTCTCTTCGTGTTGCGTACTTTTCTACCAGCCTCCAGTGAGCATTTTGTGGGCGCATTAGCATTGACTACTGGTTTCAGTAAGGCGTAAGGTGTTGGTATTGCATGTCTGTTGGGCGGCCTTCCAGCAGAGGATCATCAGGACTATGCGGGCGTTGTCGGTGCGCCTCGGTTGCTGCAATATGGGCGGAATTGCCATATATCTACGAAGACGAACCACATTTCAAAAATGTATGAGTAGGCTTACAGCCTGGAAGCGAACCTTACTAGCTATAACTGTTCCTTTGTCGTGGGTTTGGTGTTCGCCCCCACCCCCTTTGTCCATGTGAACCATGTATCGTACCCTATCGCTTACTATGCGGGGTACCCCCGTTGGCATCATCCCGCCTTCACCATGCATCCAGCTGCGCCGTGCCATGATCATTGTTTGCGTATACTTTGAACAATCACCTGGATTTAATGCAAGCGTTTGAAGCATCATCATTCACGCTCACAGTAAGCAAGCCCGCAGGTGCTTTCATTTGCTCCGTATCTGCCCCACCCTGCCCCAAGGCACCCTGACGCGCCTCCCGTTGCTAGTCAGGCAGCGGCGACCAGGTGCCCACTGCTACCTATTCCCACCCTTGCCCCTCCATCTACTTACCTTCCTCCTCCACACCTGAGGAGTTGTAAACACACTGTCTCCTACATGAATTCAAGCTGACATGCCTTCTAGCGAATCTCTTGCTTCTCCAGATCTCAAGTTTCCTCCCGTGCGAGTGAACGGGTCACTGACAAGGCTTGACCTTGAAACGCTTATGATGCGGTCCACCCAACGCCCGCAGCCAGAAGAGGCAAGCAGCGCTCTTGAAGATAGCAACTATGATATGCTCGGCGATGGGGTAATGGATGTATCGGACGATGAAGCTCACACGGCATCGATCGCCTCGACCGACGCTCCAACTCCCGATGACACATCCGACGAGTTCACTGACGATGAGGCCGACTACGAGATGGGTGACCGAGGCTTACAAGATAGCATCTATTCATCGCAAGCCGAACCTCCAGAGCAGCAATCCGCCGCACGCCCCGCATTAACAGGCGAGGACTCGACGTTGACCGAAGTGCCGTCATACCTGTCTGGGAGTGAGAGCTCTTGGCGCATCACACTAGATGAGCAGCCAACGGACAATGACGAGGTTGTCCAGGGAGGTAATGTCATTCAGAGCTCGACCGAATATACGGACGAGCTCCCACAAGTATTCAGCCGTTACGGCTGTGAGGAGGTAAGGCTGTCCGTAAAGGCAGCCTTATCGAAACACCCCTTGCCCCCTCCAGATTCGTACAAGATACTATACATTGGAATGCCTGAGAGATGGGCAGAAGACATCACCACTACCCAGATTGCTATGGCACTCGGTGCTTACCCTAGCCTCTCCAAGTCGGTCATGGTACGCGGGCAGGTCGAACCATACGTCCCTGTCCCGCAAGTTTCTCGCTGCACCGGTCTCGAGGTTGTGACCTCACGTGGAAAGCCAACACGTATCGCGGCCAAACTAGAGGATGGCAAGCAGCTCGAGTTCAGCCATAGCACGGCTGCTCACCCCCTAGACCGGCCAGATCTTGTCATCATGTGTCATCGAACACAGCCACACTCGCCTACTGAAAGAGAGGCCGTTGATTTCGCCAGAACGATCTTTGCATGTGCCGAGATACCATGCATCGAACTTGCCCAGGTCATCCCCCATGGTATACCATCGCTCGTGGAGGACCCGGCAGCGTTGCAAGTGCACGTTGAGGGCCGAGACGACCCAAACACTGACTACGAGCTGAAAGCAGTATTGCCCCTGAATCATCGCGGCTTTAGTAGATTGGACCCATCGCAACTTAATCGTCACCTTGCTCATATCAGCCCTCGCCTCATGATTGCACGAGACACAAAAGACAGCACAAAGGCACAGACATCATGGGTTGGCGGTAAGATCAAGACGTTCGCGAAGAAGATTGGAGTGCAGTTGCCCTCGGCAAGAATGCTCATATCTGCGCTGGTTTTGTGTGTATTGATACCCGCCCTGTTCCAGGGCGCAGCCTTTGCCCCTATGCTACTCCAGAAGGCTTCACGAAGCGTATCGGCATTATCAGGCCTCACTGAGGTGGAAAACATTGATCCCAGCATTACCCCTGTTGCATCGGAACCTGCACGACTCGTGACATCCATCTCTTCTTCGTGTATCCCAAAGGCAATGGAAGCTCTTACAGTCATGCCGGCTTCACTAAACCAGCCTATCAAAAAGCCAAAGACAGAAGATGGAAAGATTGGAAGCTTTGAGCTCCAAGCCACTGGGGATCACCAATTCATACTTCGCCCTTCAAAGGCATTTTCTTCGAGGCGTAAGAGACCTCAGCTTCAAATCCAGATTGCTCGTCAGTCACAACAAGTTCCTATCCGGTACAATCGAACTATGACTGGGGAATACATTGTCGACCTCGAACACAAGTACCCATACGACAAGTTTAACGTCAGCATTGCAACTCACTCAAAGCCTCTTTTGCGGCAGTCCTTTGAAGTCATGCTCGGCCACAACAAGTCGATGCTGGAACAATTCATGGATAATGCCAGATCTGGTCTCATGAGTACCCAGGATGCTCTGCGAAATGTTTCCTTGATGGCGACACAGCACATGCAAGCCTACATGGACGTACGGGATATCGATGTCGCCAGTGCCTCTGAGCAGATGCAACAAGTCCGGCAGAAGTTTCAGGAGCAATTGCAAGTGAAATGTCGTCTGGCAAAACAGATACCTGGAGCGGCATGGGTGGGTCTGCGCGAGGCGACAGCGCCGGTACGCACATCACGGGCAATGAAGAGAGCTAGGATGAATGCACTTCGCCTTCGATGCAAGATGGAAATTGCTGCAGGACTGTCTGGGAAAAATGGCGAAGAGAAGCAGAGCTGGGCGTGCTCCAAAGTGAGGGGGGATATGTGAGATGGGATTGGGTAGAGGGTACTCGGACACTCAAGTCCATGGGGGGATTACTGTGGGAGGATGCCATGTTTGCTTCTGGGTTTTTCTTTGGTGGGATAGAATATGTATATGTTGCAACAGCATTTATTGATGGACACAAGGGCGTGGAGTTATGAACATGATACCCGGTGTGCACACTGGACTGGTTGAGGCGAACTGGCGCGTGGCGTTTGTATGGGGGCGTTGGGCTGATAGGTTAGTGAAGTCGGGTTACAGTTTCAATGTATTTAGCACAGTAATACTCTGGCCGAATGAAGCCTTGCGCCCCAGCCTTGGTGTACAAGTGTACATGCACTAAAAATTCGGCGTTTGATTTGGTTTGATGTTGTACATTAGTGCACGGAAAGCAACATGTGCACTGCGGGAAAGGTTGTAACACAGGACGTTGACGGAATAGCATGTTGGGCAGGGGTGGCACGCACGTCAGTGGGCCTAAAGAGGTAAAGCGCGAAAGGGAGGGGCATGCATCCCACTTGCTCAATTTGTGGGCAGACTGTTTGACACTGAACACCCACTCCTGTATCTACCTAACACAAAGATTTTGTCTCGCCACTACATACCAACCCCCAGTATACATTACCAATACAACAACCATGTCTGAAGCAGCCAAGCCCGACCCAGCCGCCGACCAGGCCGCCAACCCTGGCCCAACTCTTGTCAAGGACGAGACTGCAAAGGTGACGACTGACAAGCTTGCCGACAAGGCCGAGGCGACGACGGAGAACACAGACAACAAGCCCCTCACGGAGAAGGCGACAGAGGCGGCGGCCGCAGTAAAGGACAACGTTTTCTCCATGTTTGGTGGCGGACCCGCGAAGGCGAAGAAGGACGAGGCCGATGACGTTGACGAGCCGTCAGGCTCTTCCAAGAACAAGGCCGATGTCGGTATCTCCGTCCAATTGGTTTGGAGGTTATGCTAACGTTGCAATAGGACGAGAACCCAGAGAACGAGGAGCCCGATGTTGAGTTCCAGCCCGTCGTCCACCTTACCGAGAAGGTTGACACCAAGACCAACGAGGAGCTTGAGGAGCAAGTGTTCAAGATGCGCGCCAAGCTGTTCAAGTTTGACAGGGAGTCACGGGAGTGGAAGGAACGAGGCACTGGCGATGTTCGGTTACTGAAGCACAAGGAGAACGGCAAGACGCGCCTTGTCATGCGACGAGACAAGACTCTCAAGGTTTGCGCCAACCACTACGGTATGAAGTGACTCGATTGGGACGGTAAGATAATGATACTGAGACGTGCATAGTTGTCCCCGACATGAAGCTGTCACCCAACGTAGGCAGCGACCGCAGCTGGGTCTGGAACGCCGCAGCCGATGTCAGTGAGGGCGAGCCCGAGGCGCAGACGCTTGCGATCCGCTTTGCCAACAGTGAGAGTAAGTATTGATTTGTTTGTCTAGATGGATAAAAGGAGGCTAACCATTTGTGCCAGACGCCAACCAGTTCAAGGAGGCCTTTATCAAGGCCCAGCAAGAGAACGAGGCGCTCTTTGGCAAGTCGGAGTAAGAGAGGTCATGATGAGGCCAAGGAAAAGGTAACGAGGGATTATGGATTATGGATGATGGATTATGGACGAGGATGAGCATGCATTGCACGAATAGCGAGGAACGGTTTGGGATGATATTATATCCTGGTGGTAGTAGACGTGCCCCATTATCAGCACAACAATTAGATAGTAACTCGATAGCCTGGCTAATAAAGTCAATGGCACTTCCCCCAAGTCGGCTTTCTCTGTAAATCGCCAGTGTCAGGTTATCTCTATCCGTGCCAGCACTGTGCCAAGCTTTCTCTCACTCTCACTTGGCAGTGTGAGAAGGGCGTGCAACAAGGGCCGTGGTTGTGGTATCAGCACGTCTCTCACCTGATGAAGTAAAGCAGACCAGAACCCCTGTCCGGCAGCCTTGCGATGGTGCAGCCGTTGTAGAGCTTGACCGTTGATGCCAAGGCCCAGAAGATCGAACGAGTCGTAGTCAGCCTCCGCCCGCCCCGCTGCGACGTGCATCACCTAGCCTCCGCCAAATCATAGCTCGCGACCAGCGACCAGACCAGCCACCGCCTGCACTTCCAACCCTCTTCTCTGCCCAACGCGTTCAAACCTTATCGCCAGAGGCACACTACCAAAGTCGCATACATCCGGACTACCGTCTTAGGCTGCATTCGGTGTATACCTTGTGTGGAACACGGCGGCTTCTAACAACTAGTTACTCTGCCATACTCAATCCTCACGGCGCAAGTCAGACAAGATGCCAGACGTACGTTGCACCCTCGACAAATGCGCACCTCCTCGCACAAACACTAATAGTCGAGCAGGCCAAGCGATGGGTCAAGCTCATTACTCACCAAAAGCCCATGTACGTCTGCATTGCGCGCAGTCGCAACCGCTGTCTTGACGCGTATCCACAAGGCCACCCGTTAACACGCGCACAGTGACGAGCCTTCACCTGTCGAGGGCTTTCCTATGCGAACATGGAGTATAGAGATCTGGCTACTTGACGATCAGGGTAACGAGGTCATGCCCAACGTCTTTGAGAAGGCTGTCTACAACCTCCACCCATCCTTCGAGAAGCCCAAGCATGGTGCGTGTGCCGTGCCGTCTTGCCTTAATTACAGCTTTGCTGACCCCGATAACAGTCCTCAAGAAGCCCCCTTTCCGTATCGAAGAGAAGGGCTGGGGTGAGTTCGACATGACCATTGTCCTGACCGCTGTCGGCAAAGGCGGCGACCACACCCTCGAACATGACCTCAACTTCCAGTCTGAGCGCTACGAGGCCAAGCACCAGGTGGTATGTATACAGTCAACACCGAATATTTTCTAGCCACCAAATGGCTGACTCTGTGCCAGACCTTCCGGAATCCCAAGCCGGAGCTCCTCGCCCTCCTCGCAGAATCCGGTTCCGCCGAGGCAAACGGTATGCGCAACAAGGATGCTGCCAAGAAGAAGAGCCGAAAGGACAAAAACGTCGACATGGAGAAGCTGGCAGATGGCCTGCAAAAGCTTGGTGAAGACGACCTCCTGCACGTTGTCACTATGGTCCACGACAATAAGACGAGCGAGACGTACACGAAGAATGATGTAGAGAGTAAGTTGGCCCAACTGCTCAGATGAGACGAGATATACTGACACTCAACAGACGGTGAGTTCCATGTCGACCTGTACACGCTACCCGACTCCCTCGTGAAGATGTTATGGGATTTCACAGCCTCCAAGGTAGATCTGTAAGCCAGCCTTACAGTCCAGCCATCTTGTCTTTGATCAACGCGTCCTGATCTACAATCACACACAAACACATGATGCCTCATGCGCCATTTCCAACCATCTTACCACATCCTCTCCAAAGACCCGAGTAGCAGCAATCCGCCGCTTACTTCACAAGCAAGATTCGCATCTGTGTAAAGATGCGAGACCTCTCCTTCCTGCCTGGACGTGATGCGGTCAAGATCTGGAGGATAATCTCATGTCTTATTTCGTTCCACTGTACCCTCTCCTCAACTTCTAGTTATTCACGAGCCTCGGAGTTAGACACGGGCTTCTTTTCATCTTAAAAAGGGCTGGATGGATGTGTATGGGTGGTTTTTCGCAAATCAGCGACCCTCCTTGTTTTTATGCAACCGGAGGGGATTCGTGGCTGGTGGATGCGTATACCAGGTTTTCATTATATATCCTTTTTTCCCCTCCTCTCTCTGATAAAGAGGGCAATGCAACCATTGGTGTAATCCGTTTTTTGTGAAAGGAAATGAAGTTATGAGAGAAGAAGAAGAAACGATATTGAGATGTTAACGCAAAGACGAGAACGAAAAAACAACAGTCAGAGCAGATTGCAAATGTATCTGCTTACCACTGGGAAACATTAATCTATCGTACAGTCCATCCATCTCCAAGCACATGATGCTTTCATCACTCATCCATATCGTACATCTAGCAACTATCTCCATCCCTCTCCACATTACACATTCAACCCAAACCCTAGTTCCACACCACTCACTTCTTACCTTCATCTCCACCACCAAGCCACCCCTCCACCGTAGCCGCCAACCGCCTCGCCTCCTCCCTCCGTTTCACCGCCACCGCCGCAGCAGTCGCCCGCCACTCGACCGGCACCCGTCTCAGCACCGCGCCCCTGGTCCTCCCCCTTGCAGCCTCGCCACGCAATCGAGATAGCGAGCTACGTTTGAATTTCGCCCTCGCACCATCCGGGTACCGTATCGTGCCTGTGAAGAAAGATGCGTGGCGTTTGATGAGGATGGGGATGCGTACGTGCCTTACTCGGGGCCGTGAAGTACGTTTTCTGATCGTGGGTTTGCGTTGCTTGGGCGAGGGCTTGCGCTTAGAAAGGGGTTTTCTTGCTGTGGGATCTGCACCGACGTTGCTCTTGTGGTAGCGGATTTTTGTGCCGAATTTCCTGTGACGTGGAAAGTGCAGACGACGGGCGCGGCGAGCGCGGGATAGAGAGCGTCGGGGCTTGGTTTGTGTACGTAGTCGACGGGGTTGGATGCTGGTGAGGATGGCGCCGGCTTCTTCTGCTAGACAGGCGGTTTGGAAGGCTAGGATGCGGGATGTTTTGCTGAGTGCTTCGGGATCGCGCTCGGTTGAGATGGTTAATTTGCGGATTAAGGGTTCTTTCGACTTTTTTGCCTTGGATTTAGGTTTCTCCCCTTTCTGCTTTCTTATGTGCGTAGTAGCTTTTCCCGTAAAGTTTTTCTTGCCAGTGACGACTTTACTGATTCTGCCACTTTCGTGCGCCCTCCAGGAGCCTTGCTTCCGGCAGACTGACATTACCGCTTGATATTCAAGTTTCTGTCTCTCAAATCTCCTCCGAAGTTCGTATAGTATGCGCTTTGCTGTGCGAAAGCGGAGTCGTCCAAACGTACTGACACCAGCAATACCAAGGGCATGTACCAATTCTGATATTGTAAAACTGGGCGAAGAGTATGGGTGAGTATTTGCACTTGGAGATGATCCACTCGCTTTTCTTCGTGACTCCTCCAGTCCTGGTCTTTGGTGTACGGAATGGGATGACTTAGTGCTACCGGTTGAAACCTCCAAATCCACGGCTGCGTTCTCGGATTTTGTATTTGAGTTTATTGTAGAGCTGGAGAGTTTGCACATAGACACTGGTCGGTTGACAGTCAGGATACGTCGGATTTGAATTTTGCGCAGATCATTTGAAGGTGAGTTAACCAAAACATTTCCTGCGTGACGAGGATAAGAGTTCAAAGAGTTCCATGGTGATAAAGAGTTCAGTTTATTTGGAGTTGAATTTTGCTACTTAAGAATCAGAACACATGCTCGAGTAAAGATCACCCCGAAGCAGGCTCACCTACGTCCTTGTCATTACCGTCCTGTTCCAAGTTTGTACATGTCGTGGAGTCGGCATGTGAATCATTCAGGCTGGTGGTCCAAAGGCGCGAAAAGGGGACGTCAAGCTTGGTTGTATAGACTGAGCTAGTCTCGCCCACGTCTTTCCCACGGCGGCGTATTATAGTCAAGGCACCTTCTGTCAAGGCGCCGAAAGTGCCCTGGAATACAGTAGAGCGATGCTTTTCCGTCGTCATGTGCTGCCAGGACTCTCCGGGAATAGAATCCATCGTGCTAGGAATGGTACCTAGCTCCCAGCCCCAAGACCTATTGACCTTTGACAGCGTTGAGATCGTCCCATAGTTGTCAGCCTCACGAGCCTCTTGAGCAAGTTCAGACTTTGGTAAGGTGAAGAATTGTATCGAGTCACCATCTTGCACAACTGGTGTAAGAGTTGATTCAAAGTTTCCTGGGTTGTCAATGCTGGTTGGGGTGCCTGGACCAGAAGATTTATTGACTGGCATGGGATCCAACGATAGCAAACCTGCTTTCTTTCCCCATCCACCTCCTCCACTTAAGACACGGTGGAGACGCGCCCCTTCCGAGAGGGCTTCGGATACAAGTGTATTCCAGACAGGTGGTTCGCTGCGCCACAGACGTTCCCAAGCTTGGTCTGGGCCAGTTGAAGTCGGTTCATTTTCAACCGGAACGCTAGATAAAAGTTTTTCAGTCTTTTCCGTGATTTTGTCTTTCAGATCTTTGGGTATGATCAAAGCCCAAGCAACTGTGGCTTGCACCTGTTGACCCCTGGACAAGAAGAACCTAGGAACCACATTCTCAAGCTCCGAGGATGCCTGGATACTACTGCCATCAGTGTCGACAACACGACGAATGATGTTACCCATACATCCCTCTACAACTCGAGGCAAAGTAAGCGGAAGCAATGGGATGCTAAGAGCAGATTTGGTGTCCGGAGTGGGACCATCACTAGCTAATCGAATGACATGGTGAGAAGGACTTGTCTGTGTGACCTTGGTCAATTCGCCACTTGTGCTGTTTTTCTCCCATCTTGAACTGATCATGGTTGTCGGCATTCCTGTTTGAAATACAGTGTTGGCAAGGGGTAGCCGCAATGTGTCAAGACAAATGTCATCGTTAAGTACACGACTCGAGGTGATGAAGTCGATTGTACCTTGCTCCGATGGGAGGGAGGACTCATTGGATTCGATAGAAGCACTGGATGGGAGAGAAACATAGGCTATCCCTTCAAAACCTGTTCCCGCAACGGGCGTGTCCACTTTGCGCCGTGATAGCTGAGAGTCCAAGGTACTGCCATTCGATGGGTGTGGAACCGGCAGCTTATCTACGACAGCACAAAGCGCACGTATGTCAACATGTGGTGCCTCAGTTGCCTTTTTGTAGATTCGTACAAGGGCGCTACGAAGAAAAGCATCATGATCGAGTAGGAAATGTGCGTAGGAGGGGGTAACAAAGAAGACGGCGAAAGACTTCTTGTGGGCAACGACAGTTGGCAGTGGCTTGATGGAATTGAACAGATCATGGGGCTATGAAGTCGTAAGCACGCGGCATTCGATTGAGGTGCGGACTTCTCACATGGGCGTGGACAGAGTCCGGAATGATTATGCCACCATGTATGGTCCTTCGTTTGGCTGCTTCATTGAGGTCGGTGGTTGATGGAGAAACAGTGTAAGAGCGCAGTGGAGAGCGCCGACTGCGCAGAACAGCAGAAGCACGCGTCAAAACTGGCCATTGTCGGGCAACCAGCAGAGGCATTTGTCGAGGGTCAATTGACGGCGGCGCGGGACGAAAGTGGTGTTGAACATGCGGGCATCCATGACGCCTCGACGCTAGGGTGCGTACGTAAGCAGCGCCGCGACATTCGCGACGGGGTATGGCCCCGACAATGCGGAGATTCCTCCTGGAATTAATCTGTCCACGACCACTCTTGCACTCTCCTCCCACCGTGCCCTCATCCTTAACCCCCCTCAATTCTACACGCAGCCCGGCCTCCAGTGCACACCTTGTGGCTGTGCAAGCCGCCAAAACTTTCTCCGAGCGCCGGCTAGGCCACGTCTCGCGCACCTCCTTGCGCCCAATTACCCTCACCACGACCACCACTTACCGCCTCCAACTTCTGATGCGCCAACCGTAGGCCCTTTTCCACTCTGGCAGCCGCGGTTCGCCTTACTCTTTAGTTTCCTCCAGCCACCATGTCACGCTCGCTCCGACGCCAGAATCCCATCACCATAATCCTCGCTGGTATCCTCTGCATTGGGTTCTTTATCTTCTTCTTCTCCGGCAGCGATGTCCCCTCCATGTCCAGGGGTAGCGGCGATGTAGCCTCTAACCCACTATCTCCGCCATCATTACCTTTTCGCAAGTCGAAAGCCAATTCTCCTCAGGTCGCGCCGCCAGTTGTACATTACTACATGAACAATGTGACCAATTCCCGCACGCCTGCTGAGAACGAAGAAGCAGTTCTCATCCTCACTCCATTGGCCCGGTTCTACCAGGAGTATTGGGACAACCTCCTTAAACTCACCTATCCCCACCACCTCATCTCCCTTGGATTTATCATCCCAAAGACAAAGGAGGGCAATGCTGCATACACTGCATTGCAGGCACAGGTAGCAAAGACCCAATCGGGTACCAAATCGAAGCGATTCGCTGCCGTCACCATTCTCCGCCAGGACACCGAGTCCCCCCTACAATCACAAGACGAGACCGAGCGTCACAAGATGGCGAACCAAAAGGCGCGGAGAGCAGCCATGGCAAAGGCACGAAACTCGCTCTTATTCACAACGTTGGGTCCCACGACCTCTTGGGTTCTATGGATGGATGGCGACATTGTTGAGACTCCACCCACATTGATTCAGGATCTGGCCGATTACAACGTGCCAATCATTGTGCCCAACTGTTTCCAGAGATACTACAACGAAGAAAAGAAGGCCATGGACATTCGCGAATACGATTTCAACAATTGGATCGACAGCAGCACTGCACAGGAACTGGGCAAGAAGATGGGCAAGGACGACATCCTGCTCGAAGGTTATGCAGAGATGCCAACCTACCGTAGCCTGATGGCCAAGATGTACGACCCGTCGGCGGATCCTCACGCAAAGGTCAAGCTCGACGGTGTAGGAGGTGCCACATTACTAGTCAAGGCCGAAGTCCACCGAGACGGTGCCATGTTCCCGCCATTTTCCTTCTACCATCTCATTGAGACGGAGGGCTTTGCCAAGATGGCTGCCCGATTAAACTGGGAGAGTTATGGACTGCCCAACTACCTTGTACGTGCCCTTTCTCGATACTTTACGATAATCTCGATGCTAACAGTAACTTTAGGTGTACCACTACAACGAGTAACAAGGTCAACGGCGAAATTTTGAAGTTCTTGCGGGCTGTTCCGTTTCGGTGGTCATTGGGCGGCGTTGGAAAGGGCGGTTTGAAGACATTACTGCAATCATGAGTCCTACCGCCGCGTATTTGTGGCAACAATGTTTTGGAGGTATGGTGGCTTGCTGAGCAAGAAATATACCAGTTAGCAATTTTTAGACTTGAAATACCAACATGACAGTTTTTTCATTCAATCGGACACTTGATTTTTGGAGCAAAAGAAACGGTCATGCATGGTACGTGGAAGCCGCTCAGATGTTGGCATCTAACAAACTCGTTGGTTGGTTCGTTGCGGAGAATGTGCACCCCCGATAGGCTAGCTATTGCGACCCACAGGATGAGCTCCACAGACTCGCTGACCACTGCGATAATGGCGATATGTTCTTTTGATGTGACCAATTCAACAAGTAGCCTACATATGCACCTCCAGCTCCATCATGTAGGCCATATCGAGTCCTTATCTCTTTCCCCGCGGGGATTGTTTCAACGCGCGCCAGGAACATCCAAGTCGCCTTCCCGTGCTTAAATGACGTTTCCCGAGTCCCGAGGAATGTCTACATGCCGCTGCTTATCACGTCAAATAAGTCAATATCCCGCCGGCCGCAACATATCCCAGTGCTTGCACACTTCCCCGCGTATCCATCTGTAATATCGAACCTTTTTTTGCCCTTGGATTAAGAGAATAGAAAAGGATACGCTATTGCATACACAGCTTTACCTGCGGATCCACAATGGCATCTATCTCAGGCCCACGCAAACGCATCCCAGACTCGTCACGCGCAGATACACAAACGTCATCACAACCCATAGCACCAACAGAGACATCGCCTATACTCCCGTCTAGCAAACCCAGCTCGATAAAAGATTACAACACGCTTTCCCCCGAAATGCGCGCTCGCGACAACGCACACCAGTCTTCCGGCCTGTCCGCTACCAGCGACTCCGCAGCCGGCGCAGAGCAAGAAGGCACAGGGGGATCGAACCTGCAGCCCGCGCGAGAGCACAAGAAAAGCGATAGCAGCTCCGACGTATCCAACGGCACACGAGGCACACGACAGTCCGAAAATGGAGTCCACACCGACCCCAGAGCAACAACAGCAGAGTCCGCAGCCGCAGCCACCATGCGGCGGGAAAAAGGATGGTGGGCAGGGTTCTGGGAGAAATACGGAAGCGTAGAGTTGGATAACAAGGGGAGTGTAGCTAGGGATCATTTGGCACTGGGTAATACGCTCCCTCTCTTCTTCCCATTACATCTTCAACCCGTTCAAACGCGCTGACATGTGATAATATTGGGAAATATAGAACGTACATTTCTCGCCTGGCTCCGCACTTCGCTCTCCTTTGCTAGCATCGGTATAGCGATAACGCAGCTCTTCCGGCTGAACACGTCGCTG